TATACCAGTATATATATATATATATTATATCAGTATATATCAGTATATATCAGTATATATCAGTATATATCAGTATATACCAGTATATATCAGTATATATCAGTATATATCAGTATATATCAGTATATATGAGTATATATCAGTATATATCAGTATATATCAGTATATATCAGTATATATCAGTATATATATGTATATATCAGTATATATCAGTATATATCAGTATATATCAGTATATATATGTATATATCAGTATATATCAGTATATATCAGTATATATCAGTATATATCAGTATATATCAGTATATATCAGTATATATCAGTATATATCAGTATATATCAGTATATATCAGTATATATCAGTATATACCAGTATATACCAGTATATATATATATTATATCAGTATATATATTTATATTATATCAGTATCTATCAGTATATATATGTATATATCAGTATATATCAGTATATATCAGTATATATCAGTATATATATGTATATATCAGTATATATCAGTATATATATATATTATCAGTGAATATCAGTATATATCAGTATATGCCAGTATATATCAGTATATATCAGTATATTTAAATATATACACATATTATATCAGTAAATATCAGTATATATCAGTATATATCAGTATATATCAGTATATATCAGTATATATTAGTATATATCAGTATATATCAGTATATATCAGTATATGTCAGCATATATCAGTATATATATATATGTATATGTATATATATGTATATATATATATATATCAGTATATATATGTATATATCAGTATATATCAGTATATATCAGTATATACCAGTATATATATATATGTATATTTCAGTATATATCAGTAATTTTCAGTATATATCAGTATATATCAGTATATACCAGTATATATCAGTATATATCAGTATATATCAGTATATATCAGTATATATCAGTATATATCAGTATATATCAGTATATATCAGTATATATATGTATATATCAGTATATATCAGTATATATCAGTAAATATCAGTATATATCAGTATATATCAGTATATATCAGTATATATCAGTATATATCAGTATATATCAGTATATATCAGTATACATCAGTATATATCAGTATATATCAGTATATATCAGTATATATCAGTTTAGCAAATATCAGTATATATCAGTAAATATCAGTAAATATCAGTACATATCAGTACATATCAGTATATATCAGTATATACCAGTATACATCAGTATATATCAGTATATATCAGTATATATCAGTATATATATATATATGTATATCAGTATATATCAGTAAATATCAGTATATATCAGTATATATATATTATATCAGTATATATCAGTATATATCAGTATATATCAGTATATATCAGTAAATATCAGTAAATTCATAGAAAAATCCTCTGACCCTGGTGGATGTGACCCCCATAGAAAGCACTAAATTACTGGATTGGTTTTTATGTTTTTTTTTTAAATGTTTTTTTAATGTTTTTTTAATGTTTTTTTATGTTTTTTTTATGTTTTTTTATGTTTTTTTTTTATGTTTTTTTATGTTTTTTTATGTTTTTTTATCTATTATTGTCAGGTGCCATCTGTTAATTTCAATGATTTTCAGGACATTTATGACATATTTTCAACACCTGAATCCTGTCGGCCTATCGTTGAAAGATCTTTGGCTCAAACATGGAGATGGACCCTGGCCCTGCTGAGTCAGTGTCAGAAACTAGTTGGCACCCTGAAATTGTCCTCCTAATTCGAGATGTGAAAGTGAGATTGTATGTAAAGAAGGAGGGGTGTTTGCCCGATTGGCAATCGCAATGGGTGACTGGGGATGTTTGGCTGGCATCACGGGCTGATATTTCTGCCACAATCATTTCTGAGAAGGACAAGAACTCTGAGCTGCATAGCGCACGTAACTTTGGCTGCTTTGGGGTAGCTGGGGTCTTCATTAATACCAATACCAAATACAGTTCAACCAAGTTAATGTTTTTCTTTTTCAGAAAAAACTGAGGTAACAAGGCCAATCAAAAGATGGATGCCTTCAAAGAGATGCATGCTCAGATTTGGCCAGGCACCAGACCCAATGAATTGGCACCAGTCCGATCAACGTATCAGTCAGCAACCCAGAGCACACTTTCAGAAACATATTTACTAATTTTGCCATGCCGCTTACTATCCATAATAGTGTTGATAATCAACTCAGAAACCTTACTTTTTTCCAACATATCAAGCATTTAGGACTGCCCAAAAGTGTTTGGCGAGAAGACGCTACCCACGTCATTGGTTTTCGCAATGATTGCTTGGCAAATGAATCACCCTCGGGGCACAGCAGACCTACGGGCTAAGAGCTTTCACGTGTTCAATCATATGGTGGGGCTTTGTACCAAGACTGGCAAGTTTTCTGTGCATGTGCATCACTACACTGGAGCTTTTGGATTAATACATATTTTTTCTGTTTGTCAGGTTTAACGGTTTGGAATTTCAAATGAAAATTTCAACATTTTTCTCCATAATCATCAGCTGCATTGAGGAATGCAGATCAACGTGTCTCTCCCAACTGGCTGCAATTTCCCATTGCAGTGGGTTTTGAGCTGTGCTGGCTCTACATTGGACTCTAGAACTGCTGCAGAGACTCTATGGACCCAAGAAATGCCAGACACCTTCCTTAAATGATATATATAATATTGTTATTTTATTTATCATTTATCAGTTATTAGTATTATAGTAGGGTCCAGTAATTTAGTGCTTTCTATGGGGGTTACATCCAACAGGGTCAGAGGATCAATAAAATTTAGTTATTATGGTCAGCTTGCACATCAGGACTCCCAGAAACCCTGGGTGAGCTCTCTTTCTACCTGCGCATCTCTGGCGAGTGTGGTGGCATTCTGCTTGGATCCGAATCTTTGGTAGTCAAATTTTGAAATGACAAATTGACGAAACGAAAACCACATTTGAATGGGGTGGTGTTTGGAAATTGGAATTGGTACCACATCAATAATTCTAGCATTAAGAGCCTGGCAACAGTACAGTCTACAACAACCATCCCCTTATCTCCTTAAATTTAGCAGTGCTGCTGAGGAAACATCGTGGACAAGTACCTGATTGGAAAGAACTGAAGTCCAGTGGGCTGTCCTTGGTATCACAAGTCGCTGCCTTTCTGGAATCTCGGCTTTCTGGAAAGTAAACCCCGGAATAGAACCAGAATGAAAAATTAATGTCCTTTCAAGTAAGATGGAATAATAGTGGATGGTAATTTGGATTACGAGGACCCAAGTTCTAACTGCTCTGGCTCCGTTTTGAGGAAGCAAATCTTCAGCAGCTGTTCAAGGGTGAGCTGACTCATACCCGCACTCGACGCACTGGACAGCATTTGACTTTGCGTGAACGTTTTGGGATTGTGGACAGTGTCAGAACAGGAAAGCATCTTAATCTTAGCTTCAGATAGTTTATTTCTTTTTGTTGGAAATGATTTTCTTTGGTCAGCAATGACCAACATACTGATGAACTTGAATCATTGAAGGGTGTTTAACGACTTTATTGCTATCTCAACCGCTGTCACTCTCAGACTCAGCTGAGGTTTTTTACTTTGCCAAAGGCATTGCTGGATTCCAAAAGCAAGGCTATGTCAGTGGCACTTCTTGCGTATTGGGATATGGTGGGGAACTCAGCAAAGCCCAGTAACTAATTCCAACAGCTGTAGGAAAGCCGCCAGTCAGATCACATGATTCTCCCATGGCCAAACTGCACTATAGCACTCCTGAGTCATTCCAAAAAAAATACATGATACAACAATTCTATTACCAAAATATTGACAATGATCTATATATCATTATTCTCATTAAAATTAATTACTTTATACTGTTAAATATATTCGACTGAATTATTACAGACAAACACTTATGCTAGACTCAGGCTTGCTACTTGCGGAAATGTCGCCGGCTGTTTCAGACCTGCGCTCAAATGCATGTACCTTGGCTGGTCATAGAGCCATGGTTGGGGGGTTAGTCTAGGTGCTTTAAATTTGGGGTCATCATTCAACACAAAAGGGTACCAGTGATGGGAAAAGGGTTAGACATTACCGTTAGGCTTCAACTCCCTTAGAGTATAGCCCCCGTGGGATCGGGTGTCTGTATGTTTTTGATTTCACTTAGGTGCTATTTGATGGAAGTGTTGTGCAAAAGATTCCAGTGGAGGCCTGCAAGTTCCACAGCTACTGGGCTGAATTTTGAGCTGAACAGGTTATCATCTTCCAGATTCAGGTCGAGTCTAATAGGCAGGTCGGACTGATTCCAAAGCAATATATAAGTAATCTTATCTACTAATTTGACAATGACTAAAATAAATCAATAATTATTATATAGTTCCACCATAAAATTATTGCAGATGCTGACTTGACCAAAGGTAGTAATCTTTTTCCCCCCTTTTCAAATTTTCTCAAAAATCTCTGTCTCAGGTCCTCTGCTGAACATCGGCGCCTATGCCCCACCACTGGTTTCCTGTACGCATTCATGTGTTTGCTGACAGGGGGTCATTAGCTGGGAAAAGTATAATGTGATTCAATTGAAATTAGTTGGAAATATCCCTCAATGCTTGTGGTGGCAGGCGCTCTGGTTTACAGCGTGGTTGACCAAGATTTATGTTTCTAAATATGTTTATGGTAACATGATAATGATAAGACATTAACATCTCATCAGTTGACATCATGATTCAGTTTTTTGGCAACAAACTTGGCCATAAGTCCAAATACTTACCACGACATGACTCGTTATTATTGAAACTGCCACAGTATTTCCCAATGGCGGTGCCACAGCCGGTTACACCTGCTGCATTCTCCCATCTCACTGGAATGACGACAATGTCAAGCTGCTCTGGCGTGGAAGACTCTGATGGTCTGTATGTGCCTCTAAGTCAGAAAGAGGTTGGGTGCTGAGCGGTTCTGAGTAAGAAATAAAAACATGTTACAATTTGTTCTGTTCAATACAAGTGTTATATATTTTATGTCATCACTGACATTTGAAATTCATATCCAATCAATCCATGGGACAGGACCACGACTATTCCAAGTTGGAGTTTGCTAGCAGGGCTATCGAGCATGCTTGGGACATTGTAGCTGATGCAATACCAGCAGTACGTCTCAAGGAAACTTGTTTCCCGAACATCAAGTTTTGCTTATTGTTATTATTATTGTTTTCCCCTGGAATCCCTGGAACTGTCACATACAAATAATCAAATAGCTTAGATATGATGTGTCAATTTATAATTTAATAATGACCATTATAATATTAATATACCATACCACCAAATCAATGGGGACCCCATTCCATTCACCTGGAATTTGACTCGAGGACTCTTTTCTAGCAAAGTGCAGCTCAGCAACGTCATTCTGCACAGGATGCGCCACAGCAGAAATTTCCCGTGCCATTCTTGAACGAGATGTCAACAGTTCTGGCAAAGCCTCATTTCACATGAGCATTCCGACTATTGGGTGTTGGGCTACTTGTTTGGCAAGTCACAATTTACTGACACCAACTGGGGTGGTTCAGTTAATTAATTTTATTTGGATGGGATATTGTAAGTGAAATATTAATATTTTTTTATGTTATGATCATAAGACCAATCAGGAGTATGACGGCACTTGTCAACGTCTTATCCAGGAATCCTTTAAGTGGGTTGAGTCTGTTACTTCGCATTCACACTCACCTTGCCTCTTTGGCGACATTTTGGGGATGGTGCCCATCAATGCGTTTGATGCCACTGATGGGTACAATGGCAAGCTCCAGGGCATCATGAATTGCAATTTATCGAAGCTACAGCATTGTCATCAACACAATTCTGCATGTACTCCCCACAAGTGGTCAATCTTTGATGTGACTGGTTTGCCATGTCCAGATATGTCAAGGGCAAATCATAAACGGTTAAAACGTGCTGGACCTACCAACACAGTCTACATGACTCATGGGAAGTGGGCCAGTGTGAACCAGATCCCCCTGTTGCTGGTTGAGTGCACTCCAGATTCTTGGATCTTTTCCTAGGTCTACTTTTGGTATTTTCATGTTAGTTTTTTTAATGGCAAATAAAATATGATGATTATATTAAAGGATTTATTAATAATTATATTTTTAAATATGTTCTGAGAGTCGAGGACTTGGACATGGGCATGCTGGAGGATACACATCCGGACCACTCCTGGTACCAACTTTTTTCTGAACCCGGTGATTTCGGTTTTGCTGGGACAGCCAGGCATCGGACGTGGTGCATTGGAAAACACGATGGTCGATCAGTTTGTAGAGAAGATCCCTTTATGATGCTGGACAATATCAAAGCGTTCTTCAAGGAGAATTGTCAATGTACTGTCTCAGACTACTTAGTGTCCACTGACGGTGATGTCTACATGGAGGCAATGGAAGCTGCCACCAAAATGGGCCTGAAGCACTTTGTTCCAGGGAGAGATTCTATGTCTGTTCTCCTGTCTTCCAGGGAAGCACGAACTATGGTAGAGTTGAATGAACGTTATGAGCAAAAATACAAGCAGCCAGCTACTTCCAATCCAAACCTTGTATATGGGCTAGGTGACAATGCAGATTTCCAATCATGGTCTGCCGGTAGTGGCAAGGTACCCACGTACAGATTGAGTACCAGCAACTCCAGGTACTGGCTGCCAGCCCATCAAAGATGGATGACAGCAAAAGAACGGTTGATATCCATGGGCTGGCCCGTTTGTCCGGCTATGAGCCATGCATTGGATGTGCCATTGATTGGGGCGTCAGACCCCAAAAGGGCTTTTGACCTAATTAAGGTCATTGGGAATTCAATGCATCTCCAATCAACAGGGGTGCTACAGCTAATAGCACTGGCATGTTTTGGCCCTAGTTAGTTGACGAAGTCAATGTACAGGACTCTGAGGACAGGACGGGGGGCGGGCTGGCTATTTAAAAAAAAACTGGAGTGGATAGAAAGACAAAGATGTGAGAGACAGTGTCTAGTATCAGGGGATGTCATGTGTTCAGTTCTTAATTTAAAATCTGGATCAAAATATATGATGACTATCTCAATCTTACTTTTTTTGAAATGTAGCGCAGCAGTCAGCAGCAAGTCAAGTAGCATTCAGTCCTGCTTTCATTTTGGGGCACCTTTTGACTAATGGCCGCCTCTGAGCTTGATGCTTTTTTTGATGATGGCAGTGGCGTTGGTGCTACTGCAGCCCATGTGCGTGACGATGGGAGTGATCGTCCATCATCGTCTGCTTCAAAGACGAAAGAGGCCAAGGCCAAAGCAAAGGTTCGTTCATCTAAGGCTGGCACAGAGTACATAACCAGCCGATTCAGCAATTGGGGACTAGTTCCTGACCCTTGACTCAACTAAATTGTGGAATACCTCACACGTGGGTTTGATTTATTTGTGTGTTGACAAAGACACTACATGTTTTTAAGCAATGACTTGTTAGTTATTCAGGAGTGCCATTTGCTAGACATCATGGAGGCAGCAGAACCTCAAAAGTGCAAGAAGTCCTTCACACAGGCATTGCCGTCAAAGATCATCAAGCTTGCTTTTTTTGGTATGTTCAGAAAGCCTATGTCGACTCCACTTGAGACGTTTCTTATCAGGAAAATGTTACTAAAGGTTTGAATCTATCTTAAGTTTCTTAAGTTATTTTAGATAAGTTGGATGGTAGTTGAAAAAAATGCATTTTCATGTTGACCATCACCTAGCTCCAGGTTCCACAAGCCGACCTTGCAGAAGAGCCTCAAAGATGACTATTTGAAGCTCAAGTCCCCCATGAAAGATATCACCTTTACTGAACTTGTCCAAAAGGTGGAAATTGAGCTGAGCAAGAACCAGAAATTTGAAGTCCTGGAGTTGCGTCCCTTGAATGGATTCAGAAAATAAATTGAATTATAAATTAACATAATATGCTGATATTGTTTTATTTTTAACGGAATGTCCATCATAATCAGATCACTATCTGAGGTACCGGGGAGCAAATGCTGAGTTGCAAGGGGATTGTGAAGCCATTGGGGCCAGCTTCTGATGGGAAAACATGGATGATTCGAAAGAGTGCACAGGGTATCCCTTTCGTGACAGATGGGGTGAAGAGCCGTTGGTGCATGACTGTTTTCCAAGACCATGCACCAAAAACTTCTTCCATTGAAGAAGCTGCGGAACTACCAAGCTTGGAGGTAACTGAGACGATTCTTGCAGAGTCCAGGGATGCAAATAAGAATTCCAATGACTCGACACGAGCAGAATTGCCAGGGGTTTCTCCACAAGTTGGTACCTGGTTTGGCTTCATTATTATGTTTTATTGGTGCCCCAACTATTCAAACACTATTGTTTGGCAACAACAATTGATACTACTTGTTTGGGATTTTTTTAAAAAAATCATGGTGCATAACACACCTGCTGCACTTAAAACTTAGGCAAGCTGGAGCCTGACAAGTCCATGAAGGCCGTGTGTCATTGTGGGAAAGGCCGTGCTGAATGCCCAGATTGCAAAGCTGGGTACAATCAGGAGGTGGCAGCCGGACGTGCACCAAAACTAGTGAACCCAGGAGATGTTGTGGCAGAAGCAGAGGCAGCAGCAAGTCATTGGGTCCATATTTAGTTCAAGTCTGCTGTATTATTTAATATATCTATGTTATGTTATTGTAACAACTCCCTGGCCCCATCAGAAATAATTATATCAGGTAACCCATCAAAATCGTCATACTGAAATCTGAGGTAGTGATGATGAGAACTTGGTGCCACTTCAGGATTCCAAGGATGCCGACGAGAATGACACCAAGAAACCATCACGAGATTCAGATCCTGATGCCCCAAAGCCACTCATCAAAAAGGTACCTGTGTGCGCATGCCAGGAGCAGCGGGAGGTGTGCCCAGATTGTGGCAAGGGGTTCCTTGAGGTTGTGAAAAAAGGTGAATTACCACTTTTCAAGGAGATCGAAATTGCCACCAAGCGGGTTGCCATTTGTGATTGTGGGGAACATCGTGCTGAATGTACTGCTTGCAATGCTGGCTTCATGACGGTCATGCTCAAGGGAAAGACCCCAAAGTTCAAGGTGGTGCCTGTCGATCCATCAGACAATCCCACGGGTACAGGACCAGATTTGTTAGGTCTAAAAATCTTATTTTTTTGGTTAGTAGGTGTTATTTTGCTCCATATCCCTTCCCAGACCCGAAGTTTTAGTATAATGGGAAATTCTCAAAATCTACACATGGTTGTTAATTCACTGGCCACAGGAAACACGACACCAGCCCCTTTGCCTGCTCCTGCAGCTACGGCGAGCCCAGAAGTGCCGAGCCCAGAAGTGCCAAAAGAACCTCAGAATGCAGCTGCACCAGCAACCGATGATGTTGCAGAGAAGGGTGGCGCTGTGGCTGCTGATGCTGGAAAGGAAGGACACGGAAATCAGAAAAACAATCTTATTTTTTGGGATATTATATACTTACCCAGGGTTTGGAAATTTTAGATTGGAGGCTAGGTAGGCTTAGCTGCTTTTCAATTCCATTACTTTTTTACATCTGAAAATTATTTAGAAGAATTCAAGTGGACATGAACCATTCCATCAGCTGGTAATTTGTGCAGGATCTTCTGCCGTTGCGATCGAGCCACCAGCAAAGAAACCCAAGGTTGAACCAGGAGAGGGGGTTCAAATTTTATGTCATTGACTTGGATATGCATTTTATGTTATGAGTTAAAGTTGACGTTATTTGAGTCAATCATGAATCTGAAGAACAATAATATAATAATATATCAGCAAGATTCCAGGTTTATAGTTAAGTTGTTTGCCCTGAATAGGAGACAAGCCAGGCACACCAAGTGCCACAGCATCCACCACAGCCAAGACGCCATCGATGTTCGAGAGCAGCAAGCAGCCGGGAAAAGGGAAGCCCGCCACCAAGAAGTGAGCCGATGCATCCAGTCCTCAGCCATGCAACCAGGTATGATCTGGGCAGAGTGCCAATTTCTAGTGATTTCTAGCACACATGCCAGGGGTATACATGGTATGGGGGTCAGATACCCAGTTCTGCAGCTAAATGAGGGGTCTGACCCCCCTCAACTTTTATGTTTTTTTATGTTTTTTTAATGTTTTTTTTATGTTTTTTTATGTTTTTTTATGATTATGGGTTGATTGTCAAACCCAGTCCAACTACAGCAGGAAAATATCTAGGTTAACCACATCTCCCAGGATCAGGTGATTCAATTCTGATGCCAGTTCAGTTCACATAGATACATGTCATGTCAATGTTGGACCCTGGTCCCTGGGTGACCTGGTTGTGGCAGAGAGCGAGCTCGCTTAGCGCATGAGCTAGATTTTGGCTGAGACAAGAATGGTCCGGTGATTCAATTTACATCAATCATGTGGTGATGTTTACATCATGTATAGTGAATCAATAAGATTACACAATTATACTTATAATTGTTCCATATTTTTTCTGTTTAATAAAATCTAAGCTCCTTATCATGAAAACATAGCTTACTTTTTGGTGCCACCAGGACTTTCACAGTCGGCTGGAAATAATTTCCAGCTTTGGGCAAAGCACACGGTGGTTAGCTCTCACCAAATTGGGTGATTTAGTCTGATTGTCGTTTTTAGATGTTTCTAGATGATTATATCGTCGTAGTACTATTGGGTGATTTGTCTGATTGTCGTTTTAGATGTTTCTAGATGATTGTTGAGCTCCTGTGTTGCTAGCCCAGATTCAGAAACCTTCCACAGACAACGATTGTCCGTTGGAAAAAATGTTTGAGATCATATGTGTTGACTTTCATTGATTGATTCTGAATTTGAAGTCTCAAATCCACTAGACTAAAACATCATTAATAGCAGTATCTGATTTGCTTATTTGACCTGGATAGGAACAAGTCCATGGCACTTCATTTTACTTTTACTGTAGCAGCCATTTTTTTCACATCAAAAGATTCAATCCAATCTAGGACTATTATAATAGCCTGCTGCAATGGCTTTTCCTCGCCCCCATGCTCTTGGTGGTGGAAATCGTGGGAATGGTGATGATTGGGCAGAGGCTGATGTTCTTGACAACCCCTATGGAGGCCCACATGCCGCCCCATCCAACCCAGCTTGGCGATATTGTCCTGACTCAGCCAGGACTCTGTCTCCCAAGCCGATGTACTGGCCACCTCAGGCGTTGTCATGGCCAGCCGGAAGTCGTGGTGATGGTTTCTCACCCACTGCCCCAGTCATTAGCAGGGTTCCAATGAAAGATTTCCTTGCTTATCAAGCTAAAGCTGCTACTATGCCCGAAGCCCTACCAGCAGTCCCTAAGTTGCCATGTGGTTTCAAGACCCCATCCCCCCCGCCGCAGAATGCGCAGCCCTCCTAGTATCCGGGGACCACCATCACCATCACCAAAGAGTTCTGATGTGTCAGAAGTGTCTCTTGGGAAGTCCGGTTACAAGTATTCACCACATGGTCACAGGGATGCTAGCTTGCCTGGCAAAATTGTAGTGACACCACCAAGTTCCAGCAGCAACGGATCTCTTGATACTACGTTGCCCCTGACACCAACTATTGAGAAGTATGTCTTGAACAAGCGTGGCCAGAAACGTGGTTCAGCTGAAATCAAAACGCCCAGCCCGACAGATTCTCCATCAAGCAAGGCACCACTGATGTCACCACTGGTGCAAGCATCAGCGTCAGCCAGTGCATCATCGAGTACGGCATCTCCCCAGCCTGGCATGAGTGTGATATGCAAGGTGAATGTGAACATTGGGCAGCCTTCTAAGTCACAACGCAAGATCTAGGCTGAGAACTGCGTAGCAGCAGGTGAATATTTAGATTGCCGCAATTGTACAGATAGCTGGGTTCAATTTCAAGTGTCTGCGAGTCATGTAGGACTCAGGGTTGGCTGATAGGAATAGTAGTTATTTGACATGCTGGATGCTGACACTGTGAGTCAACACATCATCATGTGACGTGACAATATCGCATGTGCAGTGGGGACAAGGACCTGTGAGTGAGAGGGGTCAGCCTGGATTGTGTTATTTCACAAGTGTTTTTTAAGCACAAACATCAACAGTTAAACAGTATATGTACAATATCAATTGATTTTAATTTGTCATGGTTAAATTGTTGAATTTGATCTGGCTCTCTCACAGGTGCACAGTCATGCGGTTGATTCCCAAGTCAACCATATGTCGAGGAATACAATTCCGTTTCAGAGACCCTCCAATGCCCATAATCGACCCAGCTTGATGTGGCAAAGCCATCCTTCATGTGAAAGGGTATGCTCAATAAAGTGAAAGTTGATGATGTGCGAGACAAAAAAAATACGGATTACTTCGATGACGTCTGCACTGACAATGTATATATAGTAAATTGCTGTGTCCAAAAATGACAATGGAAAGCATTTGGCAATTAGCTGTCAGTATTCACAGTTACGCCATTGTTAAGGACATCAGAAAAGGGGAAACTAGATACCTGACAATTAATCACATTGCCCCCCTCATGAATCATTTGCCCAAACTCAGGCTTTGCCTTCAAAAGCATGCTTGGTGCAAGAAGTCTTGCAAACGACTCTCGGCCAGTGCGGGGTGATGCACTGAATACCTCAGATCGGACAGGCCAATAGTAGGCAACAGGACATGTTAGGCAGGTCATAGGTCAGGCAAGGTACTTCACTCGTCATTGGATTTTCCATCGCTAATAATATAATTAAATAGTAGTTAGTAACAATTCAATGATTTAATAATAATATAAAAAATAACATAATATAATATAACTGTAGCAATTCTAATGATAATATAGTGTTTTCAGCCCACAACTCACTCAGGAATCTTGGTGATCGTCATGAACTCGACCCAAGCACCTATGTCTCACTGGGTGATAGAAAGAACCTCAACGCGTTGGTGGTTTCTTGGATTTGATGGGATGGGTATGGGGATATTGTTGGGTGGTAAGTTCAATTCAGTTGGTTTGACATTACAAATTATATCAATGACAATTGGGAAATTGAATTTATTTAATAATAATATTCCAAAATAATTTTGAAAATAACTATGGGGGCATGATTGACAATTGATTGAACCATAATAAGTAAATAATACCACTGGCCGCCTGGCCGCCCTGTTCAATGACATTATATTGCAATTCATGCCGATTATTATTCTCTTTTAACAGGTCGCTAAGTAACGTTAGCCAGGTAATTCTGGGAAGTAACATAGTTTTTTTGCACTGAAAACTGATTTTTTGCAATCCTGGTTTTAAAATTATCAGTATATTCAAACCTGTTGTCCACACACAGACCTGCAAGTCTGACTGCCAGATGGAATTCCAAACTAAGGTACTTGCCCATGCTCTGCACAAATCTATGCTTACAGTATGGGGCCATGGCCTTGACTTTTTGCGCCTTGACTTGATTGTGAAGAATCAGGGGGTCCATTCTGAAGTTGTTGTATTGATCATATTATCTCTCAAGCCTAAATTCTGGTCAGTCACTGTCTGTCAATCAAACTAAAACAGAATAATTAATGATAAATGGAGCTGATCATCTAGATTGCTGATCTGGATGCCCCATGATGGCCCCAGGGTGCCGAGAACCCGACTGACGCCGTTCACAGAACCAACGCTGGATCCACCAGAACTGGACATGCGGCCAATGATGACAATAGTTACTTGTCTCAAATTTCCTGCCATGCCATTCAACAACACATCAATATCCTTCAGGATTTTCAGAATTCAGATCTCAGGTATTCTACAAAAAATGTCTCATGCTATTCTTGAATTAATTCAGTAAGGGACCAAATCCATGATTGTTAGTAATATTCAACCATTATATTATTTTTAAAAAAATGAATCAAATAGAAATTCAAAGTCTTAGAGTTTTACAGTATTCCAGGCCACCAGGTGCTCTGAGTCTATCTGACCCCCTGTATCCTTTTGGACCCCCATTTAATTTCTGACAAGTTTCACATTGCTGGTATGTTTCAATGTCCTCAGCCGTGCGACAGGGATGCCATGCCCCCAAATACAGACTCACTACCAATACTAAACTTTTGATGATATCATCATTGACTGACGACTGACTACAGCGACTACTATCAGAGATTATTTTATATCTTATAATTATTCTGATGATGAATTGTCATAATGAAAATCAGATATCATGTGGTCATCAATATTGTCATGTATATATTTTTTGAATAAAGCCGACTTTGACCGACTGAGGCAGCTGATCAAGATGGACTTCCATTCAAGATGATATACACGCTATGTCACCAAGGACTCCGCTTGCTCATACAACCAGAATCCACACACTCCCTTTGGAACGACGTAAAAAATTCTGCACGAAGGGCTGGAATGCAGCACACCCTTCTTTTGAGCTCAGTCCTTTCAAATGCTGCACATGGTCCTTTTGGAAGTGCACGTAATCACCAAAGCCTAATGGAATCTGCAGAACATCTTGCAAAGAACATGGACCCGGATATGTTTGATGCCATGATGGATCGCCACTTAGGGGAACTGGACCATGACATGCCTGGCATTCCATCAGTGCCAGATGATTTGCCAAACCTCCCTTGTGTGCAGAATCTACCCGTATATGTTTACCACACTTTGCAGAACAAATTGTTTTTTATTATTTTAGTTTTCCCCCTCAATTTCAAGCCCTTTTTAATTTATTGTTCTTCCTAAACTCCTGATGAACACACTATCCAAAATTGCCACGCTACATTCAGGTGAAAGCCAAATCCTGGTTTGCAAGTGTTGCGGTTATGGACCATCTTTGCGACAACTGGAGTCTCATGGGACTTCTTCTGGATACCGCTTTGGAAATTGATTCTGTAACTTGTCATCAATGGTCCATGAATTTGACAATTGGACACCAAAGTAAAGACCCTTCTTATTTAATGATAATTGATAATAATCTCATCAGAAAAGATCATTAAGCCTCCCCATTGAATTAAGGCAGAAGGTGATGGGCCCTGGGTACACGCACCACGTGCCCGTTTATCTGACGTCGAAGATGCTGACGAAGTCGACGGAGATGATGGCCAGGATGTTGATGTTGAAGAAGAACAAGTAGGTCCTGCAGCAGCACCCGCATCTCGGCCTACATCCAAAAAGGAAATGAATGCATTGAGGGAGCGCTTCCAAAATACACTCCATCTTTGCTCCCACCTTTACAAAGATCTTGCTTTGAGGGATGATTTGAGAATGGTGGTAAACGCAGTGAGACCGTATTTGAGGGAGTACAGCCATGTGCTTGAAGTGCTCAAGGATTCACAGGACCGATTCCAAGGGTTGTTAGATTCTTGGTTGGTTTTCTAACTGCAACCCTGAAAATGAAAAAAATGAGTTTGAATCTAGCTTTGTGTTTTGAAACAAACCACATGGTACATGCGTCATCTTGCTGAATTGTTACCAGGAGGCATCATGGCGATGGCAGGCAAATCGTTCAACTGGTGAGTGGTTTGCTTCAATCCTGGAATCCCTCGGGGGTCTTCACAACAATGAGGTACTTTCAAAATTCATCAGTTGTGATACTTCTTCTTGTGCAGAAGGCCTTCCAGTGAATGAAGGATGGTTTACTGAAGAAAAAGAACGTCTCAATGGTTTTTTCAATCTTCTAGTTGAACTGGCCAGTGCCCGGGCATGGAGTCAAATGCCATTCGTCAATACCCCTCCATACAATCTTGCAGCTGTCCTCCACGAAGATTCAACTATTGCACAGCAGCACATGGAGCATTGCCGTGTCACGTGGCACTCAATCCTTGCGGCAGAAAGTGCATCGTCATCACAGAGACGAGTTGAAGTTCTTAGCAGGGATGTGAAGAAGGCAGTCAAAGACCGATTGGATGATATTTCGTTCCAGTCATTTCAAGTCACCCGAGAAATTATGACACTTTGTGAGCAATGTGAGTGGAAGGCAAACCATCCAAAACTCCAAGTGTTGGCTCAAAGAGTGTTTGGGGGACCATGTGAAACAAAATTCAGCCTGGAAGATCTTTTTGCACATTTGACCAGTGTGGCAAAGCTTTCAAGCCTCACCACTCCCTTCAACAAGTGCCTTTGCTGAATAAAGGGTTGAATATTGTTACATTTTTTCACCCATTAATTAATTAACATAATGAATAATACCCCCATTGATTCATAAATAAATTGGCCCCATCTGGAAATAAATATATTTGTTTTCCAATCCAGTGACAGTGAGAAATTCCAATTCAGGTGGACCCGGTTCTTCTATTGCACGACTTTACCAAGCTTGCACCATACTGGGTGGCCGCAGGTGAAAACCACACTTGAAGACCATGTGGGTGAAATGGCTGAAAAGAAATCAACACAAGCAAAGGCAACTGCTGCTATGTTTGGGAAATCATTCAGAGTTGATTCCGAACCCTTACCACAGAGAATCAAAGATGGGATCCTTGAAAGTATGACTAATGCCAAGAATGAGATCAAGAAAGCAGGAACGTTATCCAACCAGCGTTCAACAGCAGCATCTGCGTGGCTCCTCAACAACGAGAGAACCCACTTTCAGTCTGCCACCATGGCATGGACAGGTGAGGTGTCCGTCTAACAGTAACAGCAGCTAAAATCACATGGAAACAAATCAATTTCAATCACTGAATTCTGACTGTGATTTGCATTTGAATGTTGTGTTTTAAAGAGCAGCTGGTTACTTGCCTGCTATCTGATATCACTCTATTTCAATTGGCATGCTATCATTGCCACAATCCTACCATAGCCACTGCTCCAGGAGTGTTCTTGATGAAGCAACACTGCTATGTCAACTCAGGGACCGGCAATGCGCTTTTGTGTCTTGGGTTTAGGACTTGCGCAGCACTTGGGGTTCGCTTGGTTAAACACACCATTGATGACAATGTCACTGGGATTATTTCAGAATAATTTCTACCTGAACCATATTATTATTGTTTACTGTTTATCAAGTTATGTTTATCATAATCATTTTTTTTGTTCTAATCAGTCATCCAATTCCAGGTATTCTTGACCATAGACCCAAAACCGTCTTCAAGAATTCCGATTTGGATGGTGAATGACCGAGTGGAAAGGGATGATGGTAGTGTTTCTGGCTGGCAACATCTTCCTTTTGAAGTACAGCATCCCTTTGAAACACCTGCAGCGCTGAGGGCTAGCTTCTCAGTTGTGCTACGCCAAACAGGGCCCCCAGAAGGTGTTGTGTTGTCAGCGGTCAAACATGGCTGCTTTCTGACAGTTGGCCAACTGAAAGCATTACATGGTATCTTCAGATACCCTATGGTGTCCAAACCAGATGGACATGGAAAGGACGGCAATGTTGTGAAGCGCGATTTTGCTGAGGGGCTTATCAAGTATCTCATGCCAGACGCCAACAAAAAAGACCAATGGGACATGTTACAGGGAATCATGGGGAAAAATTGGAAGCACCTCAAACATGAAAGGGTTTCAAGACATTCAGCCGAAATCCTGACTGCCTTCAATGGTATGGATCGAGAAGATTTACGAGATTTTGTAGATCTAGCACAAGTCGCTGCTGATGAAGAAGTATTGAAAGAGAAGCGAGACCGCTCAAGTCGACCCAAAGACATCATGAAGTCAACACAGAAGCATGCTACTCCAGAATCACTGAGAGATTTGGCCCCACAAGAAGCAACTTGCAGGATTTCCCGTCACCCTCAGTTGAAGAGGTACCAAAGTTTTTACCATGGAACAGATTCAAATACAGGTCCCCTGGATTATGCATTCCAAATTTTATTTTCTAAGACACCACAATTATTATTGGGTAATTTTGTGTTTGTTCGTGTTTAGCCTAAATGATATTTGAGTGAATTAGTGCCATTTTCAATTCACTCAGTTTCAATCCAATTCCCCCTAGGTGATGCACGCGTGTGGTCCCACGCAACTTACTGGCATGGAGCCCGCAAAAAAATGACTGAATTTGCAGCCCTGAAAGAAGCTGTGCTTTGGTTGTGGCGTGTACATCGCGAGATTGTTCCAACACACACGGAGCCCGAGTTCCATGGTTACAATTTCAAGTACATGTTTTGGGGATTTCAACACAATTGTGTTTTATATCTTGTTTGATATTACTGTCAATTAGATTAGTGGATGGACTGATATTTCCCAACTGAGGCCTGATGATGAAATCATTAGGAGAGTGGTGGACAAATTCGATGAGACAACCGGTTTTTTGGGTGCATCACAAAAAAGTATGGACGCGCCCATGGAAGAATCAATGGATGAATCCCCGCCAAAGGCGAGCTCTGCCTTTCCCAAAGGAAAAAAGAGCAATCCTCTTGCTGGTCAAAAGCAACCAGCCAAACCTCACAAGTCAGAACCTTCAAAGAAGGAAAAAAAATGAGAAGACGCCTAAGGTGAAAAAAACCCATGGCAAGAACAAGCACTAGATGTCCCAGACACGCATGTGCAACGGCAAAAAACCGATTGAATTCGAGCTTGGTTGGGTGTGTTTAGGGTAAATAAACCACAAATGTCCCACGACTTTAAGACTCTGAGATTACCAAAGCCTGCATATACCCCCCATGGGGGTCAGACCCATGGGGGTCGGAAGATTCCCCTATGATAAATATCAGTATATATCAGTATATATATGTATATATCAGTATATATTAGTATATATCAGTATATATCAGTATATGTATATATTATCAGTATATATCAGTATATATCAGTAAATATCAGTATATATCAATATATACCAGTATATATCAGTATATATCAGTAAATATCAGTATATATCGGTATATATCAGTATATATCAGTATATGCCAGTATATATCAGTATATATCAGTATATATCAGTATATATCGGTATATATCAGTATATATCGGTATATATCAGTATATATATCAGTATATGCCAGTATATATCAGTATATATCAGTATATATCAGTATACATTATATATCAGTATATATCAGTATATATCAGTATATATCAGTATATATGAGTATATATCAGTATATATCAGTATATATCAGTAAATATCAGTATATATCAGTATATATGTGTATAAATCAGTATATATCAGTATATATCAGTATATATCAGTATATATCAGTATATATCAGTATATATCAGTATATACCAGTATATACCAGTATATATATATATATTATATCAGTATATATATTTATATTATATCAGTATATATCAGTATATATATGTATATATCAGTATATATCAGTATATATCAGTATATATCAGTATATATATGTATATATCAGTATATATCAGTATATATCAGTATATATCAGTATATATCAGTATATATCAGTATATATCAGTAATTTTCAGTATATATCAGTATATATCAGTATATATCAGTATATATCAGTATATATCAGTATATATCAGTAAATACCAGTATATATCAGTATATATCAGTATATATCAGTATATATCAGTATATATATATTATATCAGTATATATCAATATATATCAGTATATATCAGTATATATCAGTAAATATCAGTATATATCAATATATACCAGTATATATCAGTATATATCAGTAAATATCAGTATATATCGGTATATATCAGTATATATCAGTATATGCCAGTATATATCAGTATATATCAGTATATATCAGTATATATCGGTATATATCAGTTATATATCCGTATATACCAGTATATGTCAGTATAGCTCAGTATATATCAGTAGTTATATGAGTATATATATATATCAGTATATATGAGTCAGATATATCAGTATATATATCAGTATATATCAGTATATATCAGTATATATAGTATATATCAGTATATATTCATATATATCAGTATATATTTCAGTATATATCAGTATATATCAGTATATATCAGTATATATTAGTATATATCAGTATATCAGTATATATCAGTATATATCAGTATATATTAGTATATATCAGTATATATCAGTATATATCAGTATATATCAGTATATATCAGTATATATCAGTATAGTATATCAGTATATATCAGTAGTATATCAGTAAATATCAGTATATATCAGTATATATCAGTATATATCAGTACATATCAGTATATATCATAAATATCAGTATATATCAGTATATATCAGTATATATCAGTATATATCATATATCAGTATATATCAGTATATATCAGTAAATATCAGTATGTATCAGTATATATCAGTATATATCAGTTCAGTAAATATCAGTATATATCCGTAAATACCAGTATATATCAGTATATATCAGTAAATGCCAGTAAATATCAGTATATATCAGTATATATCAGGATAAGTCAGTATATGCCAGTATATATCAGTATATATCAGTTTAGTAAATATAGGTAAATATCAGTATATACCAGTATATATCAGTATATATCAGTATATATCAGTATGTATCAGTATATATCAGTAAATATCTGTATATATCAGTAAATATCAGTAAATATCAGTATATATCAGTATATATCAGTATATATCAGTATATATCAGTATATATCAGTTTAGTAAATATCAGTATATATCTGTATATATCAGTATATATCAGTAAATATCAGTAAATATCAGTATATATCAGTATATATCAGTATATATCAGTATATATCAGTATATATATCAGTTTAGTAAATATCAGTATATATCAGTATATATCAGTATATACCAGTATATATCAGTATGCATCAGTATATATCAGTATATATCAGTATATATCAGTATATATCAGTTTAGTAAATATCAGTAAATATCAGTATATATCAGTAAATATCAGTATATATCAGTATATATCAGTTTAGTAAATATCAGTAAATATCAGTATATATCAGTATATATCAGTATATTATCGGAATAATTATTTCCCCAGTTGAATCAGTATTATATCAGTATATATGAGGTATAATGAGTTATTATATCAGTAAATATCAGTAAATATCAGTACATATCAGTACATATCAGTATATATCAATATATATCAGTATATATGAGTATATATGAGTATATATTAGTATATATCAGTATATATATGTATATATCAGTATATATCAGTATATATCAGTATATATCAGCATATATCAGTATATATCAGTATATATTAGTATATATCAGTAATTATCAGTATATATCAGTATATATCAGTTTAGTAAATATCAGTATATATCAGTAAATATCAGTAAATATCAGTACATATCAGTACATATCAGTATATATCAATATATATCAGTATATATGAGTATATATGAGTATATATTAGTATATATCAGTATATATATGTATATATCAGTATATATCAGTATATATCAGTATATATCAGCATATATCAGTATATATCAGTATATATTAGTATATATCAGTAATTATCAGTATATATCAGTATATATCAGTTTAGTAAATATCAGTATATATCAGTAAATATCAGTAAATATCAGTACATATCAGTACATATCAGTATATATCAATATATATCAGTATATATGAGTATATATGAGTATATATCAGTACATATCAGTATATATCAGTATATATCAGTATATATCAGTATATATCAGTATATATCAGTATATATCAGTATATATGAGTATATATCAGTATATATGAGTATATATCAGTAAATATCAGTATATATCAGTATATATCAGTATATATCAGTATATATATATATTATATCAGTATATATCAATATATATCAGTATATATCAGTATATATCAGTAAATATCAGTATATATCAATATATACCAGTATATATCAGTATATATCAGTAAATATCAGTATATATCGGTATATATCAGTATATATCAGTATATGCCAGTATATATCAGTATATATCAGTATATATCAGTATATATCGGTATATATCAGTATATATCAGTATATACCAGTATATATCAGTATATATCCGATGATCATCCCCTCGGAGATCACAACTGATCTCAACTGGCGATTTCTGGTGCGACCAGGAATCCGAGGATGTGAAGGAGCGGACAGAGCGGTTGATCGCCTCCATTCGCATCACCATCTTCCGCTGGGTTCGGAAACACAGGAGCTAACACAGTAGCTCTCCATGGATAGGTCCAAGCAGTCCAAGGCTCCGGATATCACAGTATATCACAGATTATCACAGCCATATTCGGATCTATTAGCTGCTGAATGCTGCTTATAGTTTTAACGGTTTGTTCAGTTGGTGAATTGAATCATTTTTTTCAGACAGAATCAATGAGGTAGGCAGGTAAAGGATACCACCAAATTTACAGACTCCACAGCTTTGTTGGCTAAATCCGAAAATGATTTCCATTTTTTTCTGACACGGTGACCATGCCTTGAGGTGAACCGTGGCTTGTTTGAAGATCACAAGCAGCTTGGAACTGCACCATGTGATGGTGTGGGTAGACGAGAGAATTCACTGGTGAGAAGATGGTAGAAGATTGTGTTTCTTATGTTTATTGATCTTGAAAAACTTCAACATATTCTCATCTGGGCGCAGACAATATTATCCATCATCCACGCCAAGTTGTTGGAGGACTTCACCATGTTTCACCATGTTCGCCATCCATTTTTTTGTGAAAACAGGAGGTTCCCAGGTTCCTAAATCCTCCAAATCGCGGTCAGAAAATGGTGATTGCTCCAAGGCTGATCTTCTGCTGTATGCTGTCCTTCCGGCTGCTGCAACTCCGGCAGTTGGAGGTGCTGCGGCACCATGTTTTTTCCTGGTCAAGTGCATCATTTGGAAAAACAAAACACAAAAAGAACCAGTGAACAGATGTCAGCTAATTATTGATCTGTCTGTATATTGGCATTCACAACATCACCAGTTGATAATTTGATTGTCTTGGAAGACACCTCCTACCCATGGGACCAGGAGTATGTGCCTGCGCATTTTTCCTTCCTCCTGCGGGGGCCATCTGTGGGAGACTCAAGTGCAGCAGCCAAGCCCAGATCAAAACAGTTTCCATACTTTATATAAAATGTATGGAATTTACCTCATTGGGAGGCCATTAATGGGGAAAATGAAGACATATTGTGCCTGGGCACACCTGGAAAGTGCGTGAATAAATCGGCCCCGATCTTTCAATGGCAGCTGTTTGCACTTCTGGGACAGCCTCAGGGTCAGCAGTTGATGAGGTCCCTCATTTGGCAGAAAATCCCCTGTCGGATTGGCTGCCGGACAAGAGCTGGGTTTGGGAGCCCCAGATCAAAACGAGTTCTGATCTGCTTTGGCTCAGCGAAGAGTGAACAATTTTGAGGAACCACCAGCCTGTCACTGAAAAAAAAAAATATACATGACAGGGACTGTCGCCCTGCTGCCACTGACCCCCGGAACCTGTTAAACGAAGGGAGCTAGAGGAGGCACATCTTTGAAAGTATGAGAGAAGCAGGGCCGACCCACAAGAAAACCCACACAAAGTCTGGCCAGATGAGACCCAACAAATGAGAATATCCGTACCCATCATTTTCCATGAACAATCATGAACATATTGATTTCATGTGATCCTTGAACATCCTTGAACATCCTTGAACTATGCCACAATGATCGTAAGGCTGTGGGTAAAACATGAAGAACTCCACTCCATTGCCACTGTGCCACTGCCATCTGCCAGGCGATGGTCCTGAAGTTGGTGGAGCTGGAGGGCTTCGAAAATTTTGCGTCGGCTACCCTGGAGACATCTGGAGACATCTGGAGACGCTGGTGATCTGAAACCAAGAAAACACAACCGTTGGGTCCGTTGGGTCAACCTTTGTTGAGAACGATCAGTTCCTTTTTTGGGGCGAACTGGCCAACTTGAGAAAACCAAATTCAAGTTAAGGATGCGAATCAAATATATTCAAATGGATGTGGGTCAAAATGGAAGACCTAGGGGACCACAGATGTTAGTCTAGTTTAGTATTAATCATCCAATTATTGGGGTACCCAATTTTGACCCATACCCAAATATTAACAGTATCAGAGTATCACGCAAACTTGGGAGCAATGGCGTTGATTTGGGGGTTGGGATTTTGATTTCTTGGAGCTTCCCACCGCGGAGTCACCCCTGAGATTGCTGAGGCAGAACATGGAGCGTGACGCGCCCAATCGCTAGGATCTCAGGGCAAGGATTCACTGATCCACGATGATCCACGTATCCCAGCCATAGTCTCCTTTAGATTTGAGAGATTGATGCAGGTGCATATAGTGCATATAGTGCATATGTTGCATGACAAGAGGTGTCCTGTTTTCACATATGTTTCTATGGGATTTAAACATATTTAAACGAGTTTTTTCTAAAAAACATTTACCTTGCCAAAGATCAATGCATTGACTCAGGTTTTCGCGACTGGATGGCAGAGCTTGCTCCAGAGGTTCAGATTCTTTGATGGACCAATTTTTTGGGTCTGAACTGGCCTCAATTCTTGGGTCCTGGGTGAGAAAACGTTTGAACATGATGATAAATCGGGCAAAAGCATGGACATTCCATAAATGATGATCAGGTACAAGTAATCAATTCAGTCGCGGCGATGCCAACCAATCTTTTGGCTGTTTCTTTTTGCCTAGAGGAACATTTATGGAATAGGTGCAGCTGCCATGTACCCTTAAGGTATGTACCATTTCTTTTAGATTTTAAAGTCGCCAAACATTGCCTTTCTTTCTCAAAGACTAGAACATCAGATAATGTTTGCTCTGCGGCCAGGAAGCCAAACTGCCACTGGATTGGAAGACGCTGGATAACAAGTACTTCAGGCATCTCAGCTCGCTGGAAATGATGAGAACTTGAGATTTTGAGATGACTAGAAAGAGATGCATACGATGACATCATTTTAGCTAAGTGACTAAGTGACTACGTGACTAGTTTCATGCGTGGCCAGGTTGGCACTGTGAATGCTCAGATGTATTTCAGCTGTCTTGCCGAGTGCATCAATTGCCATTGGGACCATCATGTCACCAACGCCCGAGCCCAGGAAACTGCTGGGAACTCAGATCCGCAGTCTACCGCACCCTGAGAGCCCAGAATTTGGCAATTTGGATAGAAGTCATATGCCACTGGATTCTTGGTACACTATTTTCTAAGGTTTTGTGTTCAATCTCACTATGGCTGGTTATTCTTGTCAATCTCCACAAGAGTTGTTTCACTTCCCCATGATTGATTTGCTTAGCTACAGCTATTTTGGTCCTGATTTTGCTTCCGAGTTTCTTGGTGTCTTGGTGAAATTCCTTCAACGCTCCAGGGCTATCATCCACTTCTCCTCCAGAAAACAAACCACCCAGCAATTGCGTTTTGATGAACTCGGAATACCATCTTTTTCAGAATATAAGCATTGCACATTTGAGTCCAGAACACCCACCACAAATAGTGCATTTTTGAATATTTTTGATCTGCAATCATCCATGAATCATCCAATTCATACGCCGGTGAGTTACCCAGTTGACCCAGGTTGGTAATCCGATGCCTGCGCCCGGATCGAATGTCCTCTGCATTGGCCAAATGGATCAGGACGAGAAGGGCGAAACATGCGACGTGGTGAAGAAACAATAAAAGACCTCCAAGAAGTATGGGTTAAAACACGCTCGCTGCAACCCCTAGGTTTGCCCGCGGCCAATCCCGCATATCCTTTGACATGCGCAAATCCTGCGCAGGGTTTAAGTTTTTTACTTTCCAAAACAACAAACACCAAAACCCTAAAACCTAAAACCCTAAAACCTAAACTCCTAAAACCTAAATTTAAACCCTAAATCCTGAAAACTTAAAGTCAAAATCACTGCGTATAGCCAGTGTTTTCATTCATCCTCTGGTGATATATTGTTTGGATGTGTTGTTTGAGTGTGGGCGAACCAGGGGGTTGCGGGGAACATATTTAAACCAACACAAATGATGAAATTTAAGGATATAACCATGCAGGTAGAGAAAGTGATGATGATTAGAGAGATAATGAAAGTAACTTTAGCTCAGAAACCGCTCCAGACAACCCGGTTTGGTGAATTCTTGGCTCCGAACGTGAGCATCGCATGATATGATTGCATGTCATCTTTTTGTGATGTATGATTATATGTACATTATATACTACTATAATCTACTATATTATATATATATATATTCAAAAGATTACAAAAGGGTCACAGGAGGATCTTTTGTTACAGTAAACGTCTTCGATGGTCCGGTGCGACAGGCAAAGCCTCCCCAACGGCAGAGCTTTCATCGACTGTGATGCCTCACTGTCCTTCTACAAGGTCGTCACTGTTATCGGATTTCCGGGAATATACACAGCATACCATACAATGTATTTCTAAATCGTCTATACCATGTTTTCCCCAAGCATGTCCAATCACATACTCCCTCAAAACAATTCTGGAATATCGGATGTTTAATTGTCGTAGTTTCTAGTTTTGGTTCACTTTGACCATGCATGGTGGTTTGGATAGGTGCTTTTCTGGTTCAACCACCAGATGGTTCAGTGCCATTGTTGGAAAGAGAAACTCATTGTAATTGCTGTTTATTTTTCCTTCTTATTGCAACTTTTTTTTTTTGTAGCAGAAAAGTGAACACATGGCAGTTGTCAAAACTAGCAGTCCATGAGCATTCTCCAATAAAACGAAACACTACAAATTCGAATGACTTCAGCGTGGTTCAGTTGCAGTATGTTCCACATTATCGTTTGAGTACCTTGCAGATTCTAATGGAAATATATACATTCATAATACATGGTTGGATATGTTTTCTTTTACCATTTTTCTTTGGAAATGACGAAACTACAAAGCTTCATCATCAAGCACAAAGCAAGTCTTTGAAGCTACGTCGCCAGTGACTGCAGGTGCTGAACTCTTCTTACGAGGACCTGTGTGGATGTCACTTGCGCATCTTCAGAGCATTGTGTGGCCGCCAGTACTACGCAGTACAGTTTCTGCATTTGCTACTTTCATCATCTTTCATCATTCATCAAGTATACTGAGTCTCTCTTCCATGGTTTTGCAGCATCTTTGTGTCAAGTGCATGTGGCTGCCTCTTGCCTCCGACCTCAACGAATCTAGAGGTCGTAAAGTGTACTAGGGATCAGCGATGGCTGGCCCGCAGACGTCGCAAGTCTTGATGCCTTGCAGCAAGCCTTGTGGAAACTCGGAGATTGACACGAAAGAGAACGACAAAGGAAAGATGCAGCGGATTTCTCACATTTCTCACATTTCTCATGGTCCGTTGGTGGAAAAGATGCCTTTGCCAGGCTTTGTGAAGCGGGAGCTTCATGAGCAAGGCAGATGTGAGCCGTGCCTCTTCATGCACAAAGCTATGGGGTGTTGGTATGGAGACGATTGTCGCTATTGCCATTTCTGCACTCCAGAACAAATGCAAAAGAAGCAGAGCCGAAGATTCTACATGGAAAGGGCTCTCCGAAAGGACCGAAAGGAGAAGAAGTTCGACCACGCACAAGGAGCACCTCCTTGTGATGTCACGAGATGTGCAATGAAAGATTCTGAACCATCTTTTGTCGTGAGAATACATGACATACTAATGTGATCAATATGTGATCAATATGTCCAAAAGTGCAAAAAGTGCAAGGCAACTCTTCACGGCCAATTTGTTTTTGAGCTCGTTCACAGGATCAATCACATATATCACATGGATCAATGTCCTACACTTGCATCATTTTGCACCAGAGGCAGCCCAAGTTCAGGCGGTTGAGCTTGCCATGAGCGCAGGACAAGGCATTGAAAGCAAGGTGAAAGTGTGGCTATGAAGAAAGCTGTGATCCTGAGATTGCATCCCGAGCTGTCGTTTTGACTCAGAATCATTCTTGTTCATGTTGCAAGATGTTGCAAGTGTGCAAGTGTTTTTGGGACAGAGCTGGGAGGATAGTGTGAAAATGTGTGAAAGCAGCATGCAACAGCATGCAAAGTCCACACATGACAAATGTGTTGTCAAATTTCCATGTCATAACGAGTCACAACGAGTGACTTCTAAGGACTGAGCCCATGTGAGCTTCAGACCAGCGCTTGAGATCGGCAATGTTCATGAAACAACAGCTATTGTGATCCATTTTGCTTGTTTTTGGCCCGAGAAAATAGAAGTCGAGGCCCAGTTGTGGCATGTTGCAATTCGTTGCCATTGGTTGCAAGACGTTTGCAATTGAGGGTGGGCGCCCCTCGGACAGCACATAGTGATATAGGTTGCCTGGATGATACAAATCTTCAGGTCCGAACGTGGCAGGCGAAGGGCATTGTTAGGGGAAGATGTAAGCACAACAGAATGCTTCCTGGAAGGTTTTTTCTTTGCCACGTGCCCTGCGCAGTTTCACAAGCAGCGTGCATCGAGAAGACGCACGGATTTGGCTGGTGCCCCAATTTGACCATCATCGACAAACCCGGTCTGCCGGATCTGCCGGTGCTTGTCTCTTCCAATGAAGCCTTCAACTTGGCTCTACCTGACGCTCTAAAGAATTCTAAAGATCCAGTTGGCTTCAATCATAGATCATGCAGACATCTACCACAGGATCCATAGTTAATCGTTAAGTATCATAGGTGCCATTCTTGGAAATCAAACACATTGAAGCCAGCAGGAGTGGTGTCTTGTGTCTATGGCTGGAACACTTGAGCAGAAGGGTCTTCCAGGATGAGTGCAAGCAGAAAGTTGCAGATTTGATGTCTGTTTTTTTTAATGATTTTATGGTGTCGCTTGCCCTTTCCAATGTCTGAACGGCCGTTGGTGGAGCATGCTTTTGTTGAGACTCAAGTTAAGACATTGCTCTGTTGCAGCAAGACACTTCAAGACACATCAATATCACCTTCACAAAGGGGCACGTTCATAGGCTCTCCCTTTGAGGCATGCACTTTGAAGTTCTGAGCCTACTACAAACGAGCCTACAAGTACGGATAGCACGGATAGTACGGATAGTACGGTGTGCACGAGCAAAAGGTACGGTGCTCTTTTTGGACTGGTTGGAATCTATAGATTCAGCAGATGTCTTGGGACGATGCCAAGAGGCAGCAATATGATCAATATGCAGCGATCAACAGAGAGCAACGAGTCCGGAATCATGGAAAGTTTGGATAGGTCAAATTTGTGGTGCTTAGTCCTATATACATCGTTTGAGTTGGTTCATGTTGGTTCATGTTGGTTCATGTTGGTTCATGTTGGTTCTGTTATTCTTTTTGGGATTCTTTTTCGGTGAATCCACTCTTCAATGGCAGGACTCCACGAGCACCACACCCTTCTTCTTCATCCTCTCCCCAGGGGCGGATCCGGTAAAGGAGGCGGGGCAAAGCAAGGAGGTGGTAAACTTCGTTGATTCTTTGTGTTTCGTTGTTGTTTCTGAGACTTCGAGGGAGAAACTGAGAAACCGTGGATTTTTTGATACGACGGTATACATCTGGTGAAATTTGAAGAGCGTAAATCTTGAGTTGAAATTGGCTGAAGCTGTGAATATAACCCAGGTGACATTTCTGAGGTGGAACCTTCCGATCATTCCGAGGTGGAAGCTTTGGGGAAAGTGATGATTGGTTTACAAGCCAATGTGAACTATCACAACGTGGCCATGGGCCAGGGGCAGGAGCCTGACCGGGGCCTGACCTGCTGGATGCATCAGCACATATCAGCACTGTCCAACAAATACTGGTTGACTGGTTGTGTAGAAAAACCTGGTGCTGACAGCCTACAAGCATCAGATGTTATTGTTTCATATTATTTCCATCGCTACCCAGATATATGATTCAAATGATCATCTCATTTGATCGACACCAGGATGAAATTGCGCTGCAAAAGCTGGAGTTAGGATCCAAGGAAGGACATTGGGTCCCGGACTCAGTTGCTGGGAAAAACACACACACTGAAATTTGCGAGTCATTGCTGCTGCATCCCAAAGTCTGAGATATTGAGTGATAGACCCAGGGTTTGGGATGGTTTTAAGATGTTTTAAGCATTAATTTTCTACATGTTCTTTTCCAGCAAGATTGAGACGAAACATACACGATCGCAACAGCTGGTGATTCCTCTTTTGCTGGGTCTGAACACGTTGTAATTGTTGCACTCCCAAACAGCATCTTTCAATACCTTTCAGTTAGTTTCTCGCCCCAGGTGATGCTGCAAAACATTCATTTGATGCCCTCGTGGTGCGTCGATTGCTCAGCGATTTTGCTCAGCTGGTGGATTGGCAAGACCGATTCTCAAGGGGATTGGCAATGGCAGGAAGCCCATGGAAGCCCCCCATTGGGAAATTCTCTAAATGTCCAGAAAGGCTAATCAGAAATTGCGAGTTGACTGCTTTGCGTTTCTTGAAAGTTGGCACCAAATTGTGAGTTCTGGAGACGGCCGGTCTTCGGTCGCAGATTTGTTGAGGCTGTACTGGAGAAGAGATTGGATGCCTATGCTGTCGAGTGAAAGCCTCAGCATCTCAAAGCTCAAAGCACTGCAGCTGAGCTGCAGCTCTCTAAGTACCTCTAAGTCTCTAAGTGGTCAGAAAGTGGTCAGAAAGGCAGCCTATGCCCTATCGAATGACCAATGGACGACCCAACATGTCTATCACAATCGATGACATGTCTTCACGGTTTTGACGCCATTTTTGCGTGACCTTTTTGTATTCCAATCTTTTCCACCCATGAACCGATGAACCGATTCCAACAGGAACAGCAATCCCTACTTCCGACTCTTCCTCTCAGCCGATCCTTCGTGGGGATCCCTGAGCGAAGTTCGATTTTTTGGAGACGGGGCCTTGATGGGCCTCCAGGGATGGTCATCATTGGCTGAAACAAAAGGCAGATGGTCAACAGATGGTCAACACGCTTAATGCCACACCTAGGCTGGGATTTTTGGTTGGAAGTTTCTAATGCGATATCAGGCCATATCAATCTGTCAGTGACAATATCATGATATCATTGTCAACCGTATGTCAACCATAAAGCCCAAAGAAGATGAGGTCTTCAACCAACCGCAAGCCTAACCCCTAATCATCCCTAATCCAATTGTCATTAACATGAAGCAACATTTTTCTCATGAAGCAGCATCTTGGTATATCTTGGTTCATTGGATTTATTGGATTTATTGGATTCATCATGGAAAATTAACACCATGGCTAGGCGCCATGTGGCGCATTCTGGCGCCAGATGTCGCCAGGGTGGGGATCCCCATCAGCCTCCTGGAGCGCTCGATCAAGTTGACCAACGAACCGCCGCAGGGGCTGCTGGCGAACCTCAGGACACGACCTGACCATAACCCGGACACCGGACGTCGGAGAAAACGTCTCGGAAAATGCTGGACACGTTTCTCATAACGTCAAATGTCGGAGCCAAACATGTCGGAAAAGTTGCGAAAAGACCTGATTTGAGTCATGTTTGATATATATATATATTTTTGATGATTTTGGGAATTGTTTCTTGTTGGTATCAGAAAGTGGCATCAGAAATGGCTGCTGAAAATCATTGATGTCATCCTGGCAGGAGATCCTTTGCCCTCTTCAACCGTGAGGAGTTTGATGAACGCGACAGCAAGATCAAGTTGGGTGACCCTGTGATAAACAGTTGCTGTTGGGCAATTGTCAAGCCACTGCAAGCATTGGGGTACATGATATTGTTGTTGTGTGGATCTAACTGGCATACGAATGTCACATGTCTAATCCTCCAAAATGATCGAGGTATGGATGTGAACAAGCATTGAAGCCTGAAGTCAAGTAGAGCCATACATATGCTTTGGTAGTGACATGGCATAGGAAAACAATCCATTTTCAAAATATGATTCAATTGTTAGGGTTTATTCATTGAAGGCGTGACATTTCCATGGTAGTTTTCATTGCCATAGGGCATTTCACAGCCACAACCACAAAGCCACAGTCAGTTGCTCCCCCGTTTTCAGGTCCATCTTGTTTGCCCTGTGTCACTTCCACAGCTTGATGTTGGAACGAAAGAAGTTTGGCCCCTTGGGCTACAATATGTCGGGAAGCCAAGAAGCTGTGGTGATGCAAAAAACTGCTAATGTGCTTGAAGCAGCGTCAGACAAATGGCTGCCGTAGAGTTTCAGCGATGTGAAGTGGACCTGAAACCAATTGCCATGGCTTCATCCATCTACCAAGATAGCCATGGTATAGCCATGGTATAGCCATGGTATAGCCATGGTATAGCCATGGTATAGCCATGGTATGCCATGGCTCATCTTCATACGGATGATCTATCCGTGGCTCCCCCGTTTGGCGCAGGAAGTATCCTTTCTCCAACGGAGATCTGCGGGATTCGGCGTCGGTGCTGTACAATTACCTGGAGGCCATCCGTGAATTAAAAACCCACGTCCCAACACGTCCCAACACGTCCCAACCTTTCGATCATTTCGAGGAGCCAGGCTATCCAACCGGATCCAAAGATGTTTGTTGTTTCACCTCACCGCTCAAGCCGCTCAATCATCTCCCCTCAGGGATCCACTGCGGTGAAAATCCCATGGGAAGATTTGCGCTACATTTTCGGTGAGATCATGTATGGAGGCACCGTTGGCACCGTTGGCACAGCCAATCTTGCCATCTGATTTCTGTCGATTGCATGGACGTTTGGCCAAACTGCGACTTAGTGACTTACTGTTCATGTCGATCAGAGAGCGATTGCTTACGCAACGTTGTTGTTTTTTTTTTTCCCGGTAATTGATGTCACTGTGTTGATGATCTAGATTTAGAGATAAATTTTGATTTTTGATGTTAGTCAATGTTAGTCATTAAGTTGTTGTTTGGTAAACACCAGCATTTTGTTTTAGATTTTTTCATATCCGGGGAATCCGCTGAGCCCTGTGAGGCCACATTGTGGATGACTGGGATCGAAGAATGTGTGAGAAATATTTGAGTTACTTCATGCAGGCGGCTTGACATGGCTTGACAGTGTCCAATGAATTTCTCATATTTACTAATTCCAACTCCAAACGAACGGCTTGAGTTTTGGAAGTTGACTTTACCAGAATTTGACAGTTTTGTCAACATCTTTCAACGAAGATGGAATGTGATGGAATGCATTGAAGATGATGAAGTTGTGGAAACTGTTTTTCTTGAAACAGTTGGGTTTCTCAGGACGAAATCTTGGACGAGATGGAATTGGTGCCTTATGTGTCTTGGATTTTCCATGATTTTCCCAGGGTTTTCAGATGTTTTCAGGTGGTTCTGTTCAGGTATCATCCGACTTGGAAGTCGTGAGAGTCGTGAGATCTTGAAAATGCTGCAGGCTGCAATTGATAGTTGGAGAACAACCCTGCCAGTCACTGGAACTCTTAAAGGTGAAAAAGGTGAAAATTGAAAGAAAAGAACAACTTCCGAAAAGGATCGAGAAGAATTGCTGGTGACTGGAGGTCATCGAAAGGACACGTGTCCCCATGTGTCCCCCAAGCAATGCCCTGCAGGTCTGTCATATCTGTCATGATCCCATCGTGATCCCATCGTGATCCCATCGTGTTTAAGGCAGCTGGGCCATGTTTGTCACATCCGCTGAAGGCAGATGGGCTCAGCTGGAAATCCCCTGGCCCTGGAACACACGAGAAGTACCTAGAACACATCGCAACTTGGCCAGAAATGGAAACGAACACATGGAATCAAATAGTTTTTAGTAATAGATTCACATATAGATTCATATATAGAATCTATGAAATGGTGAGGTGGAGGCGGTGAGGTGACCACCAAGCATGCTGAACAGCAACATGACATGCGAAGCTTCTTTCGGCTTCACTTGGCCCCATTCCCAGGTAAAAAAAAACCTCGGCTTCCCCTCCAGTTCATTTTGGCCATTTTACATTTTTGATGTCCAAATGAGTGGATCATGATGATCACGGTGTCACCACGTGTCGCCACGTTCTCAGGAGACGATGCCCCCGGAGTCTCCCTTGTTCTTCGGGATGCATCCTAATGCAGAAATCGACTTCCGTACCAAGATGTGGCCTGGATGGTACCAACTGGATATGCCCGGTAGAAACCATAGATTTCAGAAGGTCCAGTGGGTTCGCCACGTGAATTTTGCACCTGGATATGGATGGATATGGCATATATGGCATCTGTCAATATACGCATATATGATATATATGTATATATATATTATATATATATATATACATATATGTATATATATATGATATATATATATATATATATCCGCCAAATAGCGAGTCATTGGGTCGCTTCATTAGTTGGCTCATGTTGGCTCACTGTACCACATTGCAAGTTCTTCAAATTGCTGACCTTGCACCAGCCACTATCAGCCACTAAAAACTCACTGGGTGAAACTACCTGGCACATCTCTAAATTGGACTCGACGGTTGAAAGCCAATCCCGGTTGGTGAAATGGCTGTGGCTTAAAGCCCAATTGTGGGCGGATGAAGCCACCACTTTTAGCTTGATATTCTAAGGTATTCTAAGATTCTACTTAATATGCTTTTAAAACTCTCAATTTTTAGTGTAGTTGGTTCTAAATCCCAACATATCCCCATGTTGTGGTATGTTGTGGTTAAGAATTACCCTTTTTGTTTGTCACATCTGAGGTGTCAAAGTATCTTCGAGTTGCTTCAGTCCATTCAACCGAAACAGGCTCCAGGGCAGGCCAGGAACCCACTTCCGGCAGATTTTCTCAGGTTTACCATGTGGAAATTGATGGTAATTGAAGAATGAAACATCAGGTGTTGGGGTACCTGATTTTCTGACTAACCCATGTTTTATACTTTTTTTTAAAATCAGGTCTCCTTTTGGGTCGAGTTAGAATATGACCTGTTGATTGTAAAGCAGTGGTGAAGACCTCCTTTTGAGGATAGGGTACGCAAATAATAGTTATTTTTCCTCCGATTCAAACAGAAACCATTTAAGATCATTTAAAGGGTTTTTGTCTAAGAATGCAAAGGAAAGATGGATCCGTCATTATTTTGGTGTTTATCCCAGCCACAATGCCAGTGGATACCGAAGGTTACATTGACTAAGTCTGACTAAGTCTGACTACGTCTGACTTTCTGAATGCTTCCTGATGGTGACTGGAAAGGAGGAGAATACTGAGATATTTTGTAGCAAATTTTGTAGCAAAATACTGGAATTTCTCCAAAGGTGTCAGCAGGATCCCTCATCGTATTTTGGGCCGCCGCTCAGGGATCTACCGAGCAAGATATCTTCGCCACAAATCCAGCTGGGAGCCCTGGAGAAACCGAATGGCTTTGGAGATCTTTGGAGCATCTGGAGAAACCTTCGACTTGATGCGATTTCCTATGGTTTTCACTTTCAAGTTGGGAAACTATGGGAAACTGAGACCAACATCGGTTCGTGGTTTCTATCATTGAAGTATTCTTGAAGTATTATTGAAGTATTATTGAAGTCATGTTCATCCATGGGTTGATGGTCAGTGACAGTCATATTTCGCATATTTGCAGTCGGTTTTTTTCAGATGGCAATCTTGGAGGCGGAAGAGATGTGCAACGAGATCCTGGATGAGGCAGGGCTTTTCTATGATTTTCTCGTCAAGATCTAGTTACTCGATGTTACTCGTTAATGTCCAGCTGGTGTGTAAGGGTTGTGTTTATTTTTGTGTGTTTACACCCACTTCAGGATTTTTGTTTTGTCACGCTCCATGCGGCTCATACGGCTCATGCGGCTCATGCAATGAACATAAAAAAAAACCACAAAACACTACGTGCATTCTCTACAATACCTTCAATATGATATGTTTTGACATGTTTTGACTATGGTCGGAATATGTTTTCTGGACAACATGCAAACAAAGAATCAAGAAATCTAACACTTTTCCAGTCACCTGGAGTTTTTTTTCGTTTCGACAGGTTCGTGAAGTGAAATACAATGTGGAAGAAGTGGCCAGCCTTTCGGAACAGGAGATGGTGAAGCCGCTGGATTTCAGGGAATTTCTTAGGATGGGATGAACAATGAACAGCATCCTCAAAGGTGCCTCAATGGGGAGGATTGATCATGGCGGAATCATTGGATAAACATGGATAAACGACGGCGTGCCTCGTTGATGTTTGTGATTGTTGACGATGGTTGGAAACATGTACCCCACAAGACCATCTTGAATCGTTCTTTCTGCACTTTGTCTCTGTTTGGAGGTTTCCAGTTTCACCTTGATGATTTCCAGATTTTTAAGATATTTTGGGGTCGTCTGTTTGTGGCAGGAGAAGGGCCCGTACCAATTCGTGCTGATGCAGGACACTTGCGACAAACCCTTATACACTCATATATGTCATATATGCTTTAACAAATGGAACAGGTGTGAACAGGTATCAAAATGATGTTTCATCATGACAACTCTCACTGTGACAGACTGTGACAATATCCATCCATATCCTGTAGGAGTGCGACTGCATGAACTGCTTGGTGCATGAGATGGTGCCCCATGCCGTTTTCGGATTTTGGGATGAGCACTGATCAGTTCGCCAAGTGTCATGGCTGGAGCAACTCTAAACTTGAGGCCTAAAACCCATGTGAAGTCAACTTCCGCCAGTGGTAGGTACGAGGATTGAACGAATTGCAACAGGGTTTCAAAGGTGAGTTGACCATGAGCGAACACATGGAGCATCTCGCAGATGCCTGGGGAGCCCAGCCGAGCAAAGAAACATCGGTCTGACAAGAAATGTCGGGAAAAAACCTGGGACAAGTTGAATCTGTTGAGACAAGTTGAATCTGTTGAAACAAGTTGAGACAAGTTGAGACAAGTTGAGACACTTCTTGAATCTGTTTTCACCGCAGTGCTTTTTGCACTACATGGCCCCATGGCCTTAGCCCAATTTGGAGCTGCAGACGTTTGTCATTAGGCCTTGACAGAGCACACGTTGCCCGTGTGGTGGGTGAAGCTGGGATTTCCTTCCACGAGACCTCTCAGGCTTCACGAATTGGTCACATGGAGCCTGTGGTTTTATTTGAACATGTTGGTGGTTGAGTATGGTGGTTGAACTGGACATAAGAAATCATAAAAATACAACATGTCCCAAACGCTGAGATTGTTGTTGAGATTATATTTTTTTTACAACTTTTACAAACAGTCGATCTTTTTGTCTCAATTTTCGCCTACGATCAGTTGCCTACATGCCAGTTCCATCCAGTTCCACTTTATAGCCATCCCACAATCCCTGAACCGTCCACAACTTGTTCTGTTGCTCAGCATGTTCCAACGTCAAGGTGAACCATGGTGAACCATCTGTGGGTATTCTCTTCACGTTTTCTTGGACATATTGGACATGTTGGACATGTTGGATCCAAATGCACCATGTTTGGATGGGAATTTGGATCTATTTGGATCTTTTGGATCACCGGAGAATTCTTCCATTGGTCACGACGCATGTCACGCATGTCACGCATGTCACGACGCAGGAGTTGGCTGGTGAATTTGAAGGATCGCTGCGCCCAGCTGGACGAGTGGTTCGAGGAGCCAAGGATCATCCCGAAGGCCATGGCACACATGGCATGGCACACATGGCACACATGGCACCGGCCATGGCTTGTTGACTCTTTTGATAAAGTCATAGAAATATGGGATATCAATGAAATATCAATGAAATATCTATGAAATATCTGGAAATATCTAGAAATCAGTCATAGAGTCATGGGATTTTAAAATTCACCACAAGAAATGGTGCATTTCTTGCAGCAAATTTGCTGAATTTTGAAATCTGTACTTCGCTTGCGGCGTGAGGTCATTGACGTGTCAAAGCTTTTCAATCCTCAGAGTTTTCTCACCGCCATCAAGCAAGTGTGTGGGGATGCTCATGTGGGGATCATTTGTGGTATTTTTTTGGCATTTTTTGGCCATCCTGTTGGCCATCCTATTTCACTGTGACGTGGAAACTTGCGACACTTGTCATTTGTCTGGGATTTTTAGGCAGGCCAGGCAGGTAAAGCAGGAATTTGACTCTGTCAGCGGGTTGTCAAGACCACCCCAGTGACCAGTATATTGTACGGTGTCATGGTGTACTATACTATATTATACTATATTACTATACATCATCTTACATTACTATACATCATCCTTTTCCAAATGCACACACAACATGTACATGTCATGTCATGTTGATTCATCCAAAAAACCTCGCCTCATCCGGCCATGGCCATGGATGCTGACCCATGGCTGACCGAGGCTGTCAGAACCAGAAGCTGGAACTGGATCGATTGCATGTCTACACCGAGGCTTGGAATTCCTAGAGGAATTCCGCTGGGCCGAGTGAAATGAATATGGCCCATATATAAATGAAATTAAATGAAGCCAACATAGATGAATCATGATGAATCATGATGAATCCAAATTTGTGGCTGTTCGTGGTTGTTTGATATCAACATGTGTTCCATCAACATGTGTTCCATCGCACCGCTTGGTCATTTTTAGTCGCTTCAGGTGACGAAACGCATCGATCCTAAATCCGTCGACAGTCCGGGCATCCTAAAGCCGTTCGTGATGTCACAACATACAAATGTTTTTTCGAAAAAACATCAGATCCTTATGCAACGTGCTCAGGTGTGGCACGCGATGGGGCCTATGTCACTGGCATGTGACCCGGAGTTGGAGATTGTTGCTGCTTTGATAGTCGGGAAAGGGAAGATAAACCATGAGATTTTAGGGTCCCAAATTTTGGAGCAAACGATGTTTGCCGAGAAATCTCAGCCGCTCAGGTACCTAGAAGGAGCGCGCTGGGATGCCAACACCAACTGCCTAGAGGCGGGGACGTCATGCGGGTGAGACTTTACTGTCCGAGAATGGGGATAGAACCAAGGCTGAACCAAGGCTAAACCAAGGCTGAACTAGTTACTTAGTTGGTGTTTTCAAATTTCAAATTTGCTTAACAATTTCGTTGTTCTTGAGGCAATGATCCCAAGCACAATTTGTTTATGAGTTGACAATGTTGGGATGTTGAGATGTTCCAAAAACACCAGTATCAGCAAAAGGAACACGAACAAGAACATAGAACAACATGTAAACTAAAGAACAAGCGAAACATGGCAAACTATAGATATTGAAAGCTACAACATGGCAGGAACTTGCAAAAATAATGAAAAGACTGCTGACTGCTAGACAGGTGAAGTTCTCCTTAAAATTGTCGAGTTGGAAGTTGGAAGCAGTCCAGGATTGAACCATTCTAACTATCTGACTATCTGTACTATATAAAGTATAGATAAATATATCCATAGCTGACTATCTTATATGGACTAACTATCCTGGACTATCTAGATTTATCTTTAACATTCTTTAACCATATAAAGTCCATATCTAACTTATCTAACCACATTTTTTCCTAACCACAGTCCCATAGTCATAGTCCATATAGATTCATATAAAGTCATGGAACTTTTTTATTGCGGTCCGTTTGTCGAGATCGATCTGTCGATCGCCAGGACTCGCGGCCCAAGGAGATGTTCACTCGGTTGCCTGTGATCAACTGCAAGGCGCCAGGGCCGCCAGCTACGCCAGCTATTTCTTGCCGCCAGGGACACTGGATTGGGGTGATTATAACTGTATAATAAGTTGAAATGAACCCAGATCTTTCATCTTAATTCATTAGATTATACTATTCTATAATATTCTATTCTGATGCCTAAGAAATCTTTCTTCGATCTCTCCACTGTGCCAGGCGGGTCTTTCACAGGAGCGCGAGGACAAAAACGTCTACCTCTGCCCGACCTATGCTGTGCCAACCAGGAGGTGCAGAGTCGAAAATCATCCATCAACCCACCACCATTAACCATAGGGAATCATAGGGAAATCATAGGGAAACAGTTACTAAAACCAGCCGGTGGATGGGGGATGGCCAGTGGCCAGGCCTCACTTCGTTTTCGTGGCCCAGCTGCGCACCAAGCAGCCGGCCGCCAAATGGACGCTGGCGGGGGTGGCCATCATCCTGGATATCGGTCCACTGGCAGATGTGGAAGTGTGGAAGTGAGAGTTGGAAGATGTTGCAAGATGTTGGAGGTATTGGGAGATGTTGGAAGATGTTGGAAGATGCTGCAAGATGTTGGAAGATGTTGCAAGATGTTGGAGGTATTGGGAGATGTTGCAAGATGTTGGAGGTATTGGGAGATGTTTGAAGATGTTTGAAGATGTTGGAAGATGTTGGAAGATGTTGGAAGATCTTGGACGATGTTGGAGGTATTGGGAGATGTTGGAAGATGTTGCAAGATGTTGGGAGATGTTGGAAGATGTTGGAGGTATTGGGAGGTGTTGGAAGATGTTGCAAGAGGTTGGAGGTATTGGGAGATGTTGGAAGGTGTTGGAAGATGTTGCAAGATGTTGGAGGTGTTGGGAGATGTTGGAAGATGTTGGAAGATGTTGGATGTTGGAAGATGTTGGAAGATGTTGGATGTTGGAAGATGTTGGAGGTATTGGGGGATGTTGGAAGATGTTGCAAGATGTTGGGAGATGTTGGAAGATGTTGGAGGTATTGGGAGATGTCGGAAGATGTTGCAAGATGTTGGGAGATGTTGGAAGATGTTGGGAGATGTTGGAAGATGTTGGAAGATGTTGGAAGATGTTGGAGGTATTGGGAGATGTTGGCAGATGTTGGAAGATGTTGGGAGATGTTGGAAGATGTTGGAGGTATTGGGAGATGTTGGAAGATGTTGCAAGATGTTGGGAGATGTTGGAAGATGTTGGAAGATGTTGGAAGATGTTGGGAGATGTTGGAAGATGTTGGAAGATGTTGCAAGATGTTGGAGGTATTTGGGGATGTTGGAAGATGTTGCAAGATGTTGGAAGATGTTGCAAGATGTTGGGAGATGTTGGAAGATGTTGCAAGATGTTGCAAGATGTTGGAGGTGTTGGGAGATGTTGCAAGATGTTGGAAGATGTTGGAGGTATTGGGAGATGTTGGAAGATGTTGGAGGATGTTGGAAGATGCAGCAAGATGTTGGAGGTGTTGGAAGATGTTGGAAGATGTTGGAAGATGTTGGAGGTATTGGAAGATGTTGGAAGATGTTGGAAGATGTTGCAAGATGTTGGAGGTATTGGGAGATGTTGGAAGATGTTGGAAGCTGTTGCACGATGTTGGGAGATGTTGGAAGATGTTGGAAGATGTTGGAGGTATTGGGAGATGTTGGAAGATGTTGGAAGATGTTGCATGAGGTTGGGAGATGTTGGAAGATGTTGGAAGATGTTGGAAGATGTTGGAGGTATTGGGAGATGTTGGAAGATGTTGGAAGATGTTGAAAGATGTTGGCAGATGTTGGAAGATGTTGGAAGATGTTGCAAGATGTTGGAGGTGTTGGGAGATGTTGGACGATGTTGCAAGATGTTGGAGGTATTGGGGGATGTTGGAAGATGTTGGAAGATGTTGCAAGATGTTGGAGGTTCTGGGAGATGTTGGAAGATGTTGGAAGATGTTGGAGGTGTTGGGAGATGTTGGAAGATGTTGGAAGATGTTGGAGGTATTGGGGGATGTTGGAAGATGTTGGAAGATGTTGGAGGTATTGGGAGATGTTGGAAGATGTTGGAAGATGTTGCAAGATGTTGGAGGTGTTGGGAGATGTTCGAAGATGACGGAGGTATTGGGAGATGTTGGAAGATGTTGGGAGATGTTGGGAGATGTTGGAAGATGTTGGAAGATGTTGGAGGTATTGGGAGATGTTGGAAGATGTTGGAAGATGTTGCAAGATGTTGGAGGTGTTGGGGGATGTTGGAAGATATTGGAAGATTTTGGAAGATGTTGGAGGTATTGGGAGATGTTGGAAGATGTTGGAAGATGTTGCAAGATGTTGGAGGTGTTGGGAGATGTTGGAAGATGTTGGAAGATGTTGGAGGTATTGGGAGATGTTGGAAGATGTTGGAAGATGTTGCAAGATGTTGGAGGTGTTGGGAGATGTTGGAAGATGTTGGAAGATGTTGGAGGTATTGGGAGATGTTGGAAGGTGTTGCAAAATGTTGCAAGATGTTGGAGGTGTTGGAAGATGTTGGAAGATGTTGGAAGATGTTGGAGGTATTGGGAGATGTTGGCAGATGTTGGAAGATGTTGCAAGATGTTGGAGGTGTTGGAAGATGTTGGAAGATGTTGGAAGATGCAGCAAGATGTTGGGAGATGTTGGAAGATGTTGCAAGATGTTGGAGGTGTTGGGAGATGTTGGGAGATGTTGGAAGATGTTGGAAGATGTTGGAGGTATTGGGAGATGTTGGCAGATGTTGGAAGATGTTGGAGGTATTGGGAGATGTTGGAAGATGCTGGAAGATGTTACAACATGTTGGAGGTGTTGGGAGATGTTGGAAGATGTTGGAAGATGTTGAAGGTATTGGGAGATAATGGAAGATGTTGGAAGATGTTGCAAGATGTTGGAGGTGTTGGGAGATGTTGGAAGATGTTGCAAGATGTTGGAGGTGTTGGAAGATGTTGGAAGATGTTGCAAGATGTTGGAGGTGTTGGGAAATGTTGGAAAATGTTGGAAGCTGTTGCAAGATGTTGGAAGATGTTGCAAGATGTTGGAGGTGTTGGGGGATGAGGAAGATGTTGGAAGATGTTGCAAGATGTTGGAGGTGCTGGCAGATGTTGGAAGATGTTGGAAGATGTTGCAAGATGTTGGAGGTGTTGGGAGATGTTGGAAGATGTTGCAAGATGTTGGAGGTATTGGGAGATGTTGGAGGTATTGGGAGATGTTGGAAGATGTTGGAAGTGTTGGGAGATGTTGGAAGGTGTTGGAAGATGTTGCAAGATGTTAGAGGTGTTGGGAGATTTTGGAAGATGTTGGAAGCTGTTGCAAGATGTTGGAGGTATTGGAAGATGTTGGCAGATGTTGGAAGCTGTTGCAAGATGTTGGAGGTATTGGGAGATGTTGGAAGATGTTGGAAGATGTTGCAAGATGTTGGAGGTGTTGGGAGATGTTGGAAAATGTTGGAAGCTGTTGCAAGATGTTGGAGGTATTGCGAGATGTTGAAAGATGTTGGAAGATGTTGCAAGATGTTGGAGGTGCTGGGAGATGTTGGAAGATGTTGGGAGATGTTGGAAGATGTTGGAGGTGCTGGCAGATGTTGGAAGATGTTGGAAGATGTTGGATGTTGGAAGATGTTGGAGGTATTGGGGGATGTTGGAAGATGTTGCAAGATGTTGGGAGATGTTGGAAGATGTTGGAGGTATTGGGAGATGTCGGAAGATGTTGCAAGATGTTGGAGGTGTTGGGAGATGTTGGAAGATGTTGGAAGATGTTGCAAGATGTTGGAGGTGTTGGGAGATGTTGGAAGATGTTGGAGGTGCTGGCAGATGTTGGAAGATGTTGGAGGTGTTGGTAGATGTTGGAAGATGTTGGAAGATGTTGCAAGATGTTGGAGGTATTGGGAGATGTTGGAAGATGTTGGAAGCTGTTGCAAGACGTTGGAGGTGTTGGGAGAGGTTGCAAGATGTTGGAGGTGCTGGCAGATGTTGGAAGATGTTGGAAGATGTTGCAAGATGTTGGAGGTGTTGGGAGATGTTGGAAGATGTTGGAGGTGCTGGCAGATGTTGGGAGATGTTGGAGGTGTTGGTAGATGTTGGAAGATGTTGGAGGTGTTGGGAGATGTTGGAAGATGCTGGAAGCTGTTGCAAGATGTTGGAGGTGTTGGGAAATGTTGGAAGATGTTGGAGGTGTTGCATGGGAGATGTTGGAAGATGTTGGAGGTGCTGGGTGATGTTGCAAGATGTTGGAAGCTGTTGCAAGATGTTGGAGGTGTTGGGAGATGTTGCAAGATGTTGGAAGATGTTGCAAGATGTTGGAAGATGTTGCAAGATTTTGGAGGTGTTGGGAGATGTTGGAATGTTGGAAGCTGTTGCAAGATGTTGGAGGTGATGGGAGATGTTGGAAGATGTTTGAAGCTGTTGCAAGATGTTGGAGATGTTGGAAGATGTTGGAAGCTGTTGCAAGATGTTGGAGGTGTTGGGAGATGTTGGAAGGTGTTGGAAGCTGTTGGAAGATGTTGGAGGTGCTGGGAGATGTTGGAAGATGTTGGAAGCTGTTGCAAGATGTTGGAGGTGTTGGGAGATGTTGCAAAATGTTGCAAGCTGTTGCAAGATGTTGGAGGTGTTGGGAGATGTTGGAAGATGTTGGAAGATGTTGCAAGATGTTGGAGGTGTTGGGAGATGTTGGAAGATGTTGGAGGTGCTGGCAGATGTTGGAAGATGTTGGAGGTGTTGGTAGATGTTGGAAGATGTTGGAGGTGTTGGGAGATGTTGGAAGATGCTGGAAGCTGTTGCAAGATGTTGGAGGTGTTGGGAAATGTTGGAAGATGTTGGAGGTGTTGCATGGGAGATGTTGGAAGATGTTGGAGGTGTTGGGAGATGTTGGAAGATGTTGGAAGCTGTTGGGAGATGCTGGGAGGTGTTGGGAGATGTTGGAAGATGTTGGAAGCTGTTGCAAGATTTGGGAGGTGTTGGAAGGTGTTGGAAGGTGTTGGAAGATGTTGCAAGATGTTGGAGATGTTGGAAGATGTTGGAAGCTGTTGGAAGATGTTGGAGGTGTTGGGAGATGTTGGAAGATGTTGGAAGCTGTCACAAGATGTTGGAGGTGTTGGGAGATGTTGGAAGATGTTGGAAGCTGTTGGAAGCTGTTGCACGATGTTGGAGATGTTGGAAGATGTTGGAAGCTGTTGCAAGATGTTGGAGGTGTTGGGAGATGTTGGAAAATGTTGGAAGCTGTTGCAAGATGTTGGAGGTGTTGGGAGATGTTGGAAGATGTTGGAAGATGTTGCAAGATGTTGGAGGTGTTGCATGGGAAATGTTGGAAGATGTTGGAAGATGTTGCAAGATGTTGGAGGTGTTGGGAAATGTTGGAAGATGTTGGAAGCTGTTGCAAGATGTTGGAGGTGTTGGGAGATGTTGCAAGATGTTGGAAGCTCTTGCAAGGTGTTGCAGGTGTTGGGAGATGTTGGAAGATGTTGGAAGCTGTTGCAGGATGTTGGAGGTGTTGGGAGATGTTGGAAGATGTTGGAAGATGTTGCAAGATGTTGGAGGTGTTGGGAGATGTTGGAAGATGTTGCAAGATGTTGGAGGTGTTGGGAAATGTTGGAAGATGTTGGAAGCTGTTGCGATATGTTGGAGGTGTTGGGAGATGTTGCAAGATGTTGGAAGCTGTTGCAAGATGTCGCAGGTATTGGGAGATGTTGGAAGATGTTGGAAGCTGTTGCAAGATGTTGGAGGTGTTGGGAGATGTTGGAAGATGTTGGAAGCTGTTGCAAGATGTTGGAGATGTTGGAAGATGTTGGAAGCTGTTGCAAGATGTTGGAGGTGTTGGGAGATGTTGGAAGATGTTGGAGGTGTTGGGAGATGTTGGAAGCTGTTGCAAGATGTTGGAAGATGTTGGAAGCTTTTGCAAGATGCGGAGGTGTTGGGAGATGTTGGAAGATGTTGGAAGTGTTGGGAGATGTTGGAAGATGTTGGACGATGTTGCAAGATGTTGGAGGTGTTGGAAGATGTTGGAAGATGCTGGAAGCTGCTGGAAGATGTTGGAAGCTGTTGCAAGATGTTGGAAGATGTTGCAAGATGTTGGGAGATGTTGGAAGATGTTGGAAGATGTTGGAGGTGTTGGGAGATGTTGGAAGATGATGGACGATGTTGGAAGGTTTTGGAAGGTGTTGGAAGCTGTTGGAAGCTGTTGGAATGTGTTGGAGGTGTTGGGAGATGCTGGAAGATGTTGGAAGATGTTGGAAGATGTTGGAGGTGTTTTTAGATGTTGGAAGCTGTTGGAAGGTGTTGGAAGCTGTTGGAAGAATGTTGGAAGCTGCTGGAAGATGTTGGAAGGTGTTGGAAGGTGTTGGTAGGTGTTGGGAGGTGTTGGGAGGTGTTGGAAGATGTTGGCAGATGTTGGAAGATGTTGGAAGATGTTGGATCGTGTTGGAAGCTGTTGGAAGATCATGGGAGATGTTGGAAGATGTTGGAAAGCGTTGGAAAGCGTTGGAAGGTGTTGCAAGGTGTTGGAAGATGTTGGAAGATGTTGGAACATGCTGGAAGATGTTGGAGGTGTTGGGAGATGTTGGGAGATGTTGGAAGATGTTGGAAGATGTTGGAAGGTGTTGGAAGGTGTTGGAAGTTGTTGGAAGGTGTTGGGAGCTGTTGGAAGCTGTTGAAACATGTTGGAAGATGTTGGAGGTGTTGGGAGATGTTGGCAGATGTTGCGAGATGTTGGAAGATGTTGGGAGGTGCTGGAAAATGTTGGCAGATGTTGGGAGATGTTGGAAGATGTTGGAAGGTGTTGGAAGCTGTTGGAAGCTGTTGGAAGCTGTTGGAACATGCCGGAAGATGTTGGAACATGCTGCAAGATGTTGCAGGTGTTGTGAAAGTTGGCAGATGTTGGGAGATGTTGGAAGATGTTGGAAGATGTTCGAACATGCTGGAAGATGTTGGAGGTGTTGGGAGATGTTGGCAGATGTTGGGAGATGTTGGCAGATGTTGGGAGATGTTGGAAGATGTTGGAAAATGTTGGGTTGATGGGATCATGATATCACATGATATCATTATCATGCAGATGTTGTATTGGTGTCATTTGGTGGTTTGAGTTGTGCCATCCCTTGAAATGTTGGGATACCCAATTTGTTACAAACCCATGGGCTCATATCCATGGTGCTTCCATGGTGTGTTAGTGACGAATGGTGGGACACGGTAAGATCCTAGTATGCGTTGCTACGTGGAAACTGGCTGTGCGCGCTGAACATTTTTTTAAACCATGATAAACCCCATGGTAAACCCCAGCAAGCCTTGGTCTGACGGCGTGTGATCTGAGGAAGTTAACATCAATGAGAGCGTGATTTTGGAAATGGAATCGTCTCCCCGATTTGGCAGGGTGATCAGCATCCTCTTGTCACCAGATTGATGAAATCGGAAAACCTGCCAATTCCCGATCAGAATGATCAGAATGATCAGAAATGTCGTAAGGTAAAACGTTTTTTTGTAAGATCATTGTAAGACTAGTTTGATTGCGCGGTGTCCCCGGCTAAAAATGCCTCCGCCACTGGCGCATGCGCGAAAGTCGCAACTTGGTCCGGAGCTCCTACCGTTTTGGTCCGTGGTGGACACAAAATCGTCTCATGTTGAGATAGATGTTTGATAGTATTTATACATTCTTTGCAGTTTTGCTGGTTGCATGTTGCATCCTATCATCATTTTCAACTCAGTTTCATTGTTGATGTCAACTTGATTACATCCAAGTATGAGAAGCACTTTCAAGTGACCAAAGTGATATCAAATGTAGTTTTTCTGATTTACACCTCGTTGAGTTTCATGAGCAATCAGGCATTGTCATTGTCCAAACATAGCGCATCCCTGAATCTAGTGTTTCAAAACCTCCTTCTTTCCGTGGTTCGATTGCCATTTTGGAACAGCACATTTCTGGGGAAACCAAGGGAGATGACGATTGGGTGATACTGGATGTTGGATGATTTTTGGATGATTTTGGATGATGTTGGATGGTAGACCAGCAACAAATTGATGTAGTTGATATCAGATATCCATTTCCATCATGACCATCACGACCACTGGTGGGGCTGCTGGTGCCACACGACCTGCATCGACTGCTTGTCCAGTTGCTGGTCTCTCAGGTCGATTGGAAAAATCCGCACCATTCATGAACCGCTTAGCGCAACAACCGAAGATGTTGATTCTTACATGCTTAACCTTGCCAGTTATCAATTATATGATGTACTATGGGTACTGATTTAATTTAACTTTCATCTATACTTCAGACAATATGATACTAGCTTTACCTGGAGATGTACTGTAAACGAATGCCTGACATGATCTGACATGTACCTACATGTACCTACATGTACCATGTGCGATATTGCTGCGCACTGCATCGAGAATATGTTTGGCCCGCCCTGCCAGATGAAGAAATCCATGGGCACAGCGGTATGGCGCTTCGCACAAGCTGAGGCGGCTTGGATGAACATCCTTTTAGCAGCCTGGGACAGTGAAGTGTAAATACAGTATTATAATGTATTATACATTATATATGAGTAAACTAGCCCCCTAGAAATAAACCATCAACAGTTTACTGTGGTTTAATAATGTTGATTTCAGAGTACATACTTAGTTTATTTATGTTTATTTCACTGTAAACCAATATACTGTGTGTACATATGTGTACCGTATACCTCAACAGTTCCAGTTCGGTCTGAGGCGCGGAAGGTGGATGCCACGGACGACACGGACCTCGGGGAGGAAGCGCTGCAGCGCGCGGCGCGGATCGAATACGCCATCAAGGCCTGGGAAATCCCAATGGCGATCGGTTTCTTTTGATATAGAGTATATCTTGAAGTACATGATCATCAATGTTTGAATCAACTGAATCAACTATAATTCAATACTATTCAATGTTTGAATCAACAATATTACAATTCAAAGAAATCTCAACATCTGAACATGGTTTTGGAACCTTTTGGAATGTTTCGGAACCTTTTTTTTTTCGTCTCGGAAGATGACACCGAAATGCCCCGTTGTGTCCCGTTGTGTCCCTGTGACCTGTCCAGGCCGCTCAAGCACAGGCGGTGGATTCGAAGCACCTTGCTATCGATTCACCGGGATTTTTGGGTGGACTTTTGGTAAGGTGAATCCATGGCTATCCATTGGCTATCCATGTTGTTTTATGTTGTTACCCAATGAGAAAACCTCATGCTTTGCCATGGATACCTCACAAAAAGTTGCCATAGTTCAATGATGTTCAATGCATCCCTAGATTCGGTATTTGAATGTTAGAGCACAAATCCATGTTTGTGTGCAGCAGACCGTCGAAAGTGCACAATTTACCAAACCACTTAGGGGGATGGGGATAGCACTGGAAATAAGAGCAGATCGGCTGGGACGAAATCTTGATCCCGAAAACAATTGAAACTATTGGTCAAAAGCTGTTTTGCCCCCAATCGTTTTTTTTGTAAGCTGTGAGTTCCGTTGCGAGTGCAACTCAAGTTAAAGATGTGAGCATGCCATATGTGTGAGACTTGGATCAAGATGAGGTAGCTGCAAGTGCACGTGTATTGTAGAAGCGGGCGAGGCCATTTTCCGCAATGGGGTGTGCATCAAGCGCACCACCAAAAACTATGCAACCTATGCCTGCATTTAAGATGAACATCAAGACCCAGGGGATCCAGAGTCAGCGAAACGCAAGTCAACATGGCATTGATTTCATGGCTGGGCAAACGCAAGTAGAGAGCCCCAACAACGAAAGAGCATATCCTGAGGATTCCTGGCAAGTCAGAGAGGTACCGCCAGGATTTCCTGGTAAGCTGCCACCCGATCGCCAACTACACTACAAGCATATGAACAAGCTGAACAAATTCCTGAAGGGAATTCAGCAGTCTCCATTGAACTTGGCTGAAGATGTTGACAGGAAAAGAAGAGCAAGCAAAAATCGAACCAGTCGAAACAGTCAAAGCAGTCGAAGCAGTCGAAGCGGTCAAGATCTATGTGACTCTCCAGGCTCCGATGTCTCCGATGTCTCCGATGTGACTGTGGTGGTGACTCTTTGAGATGATCACAATGAGCACCGTCACTGCAAGGACCTTGAGACCATCTTGAGACAGGTGAGTCGTGTCGCTTGGGAAGTGATTACTGTAGGATACTCCGATACTCCTTGGGCTGTTTCCCTTGCAATGCAGCACTTCATTGTCTCACAACTACAATATTGTCCGTTTTTTTTAGACCCCGATGCGTGCATCTGGTTCATTGGGCGGCGAACGGTGAAAAGTGTTGAGCCTCTGATTCTCCGACGGTCCATCCCAAAGGTGCGCTTCGTGTTCTATGAATATTTGTTATTTCTAGAAATTTCTAGTTATTTGTTGGTCAATTTGTAAGTTCTTCTTGTGATTTGAAAAACTTGTCATCTTGGAGACACACCCATGTATCGACGAAATAGTATGACATAGACTTCATAGACTTCATAGACTTCACAGACTTCACAGACTTCATAGACTTCATAGACTTCACAGACTTCACAGACTTCATAGACTTCACAGACTTCATAGACTTCATAGACTTCACAGACTTCACAGACTTCATAGACTTCACAGACTTCACAGACTTCATAGACTTCAGAGACTTCACAGACTTCATAGACTTCACAGACTTCACAGACTTCACAGACTTCGACTTCATAGACTTCACAGACTTCATAGACTTCATAGACTTCACAGACTTCATAGACTTCACGGACTTCATAGACTTCATAGACTTCACAGACTTCATAGACTTCATAGGCTTCACAGACTTCATAGACTTCACAGACTTCATAGACTTCATAGACTCCATAGACTTCACAGACTTCACAGACTTCATAGACTTCACAGACTTCACAGACTTCATAGACTTCACAGACTTCACAGACTTCACAGACTTCATAGACTTCACAGACTTCACAGACTTCACAGACTTCA